GGAGAAAATGTCATCTTCTTTGGAAAATATAGACCATCCACGCTGAATATGTAAGGGTCTGCAGCCCTCCTTCATGGCTCACACAATTAACATAAAAATGCATTTGGGATTTTTAAGATTAGAGAATCGAAGGTAAATCACAATATGCTTTCTTCTCAAACTTTGTCTTCAGATGAAATTAAAGGGTTTTTTGGCAGTAAAGGTTTGAACTCAGGACCTTATGCTTGCTAGGCAGGTGCTTTACCACTTCATATCTCCAGCCAAAGTTAACTTTAAAGGGAAATGAAGTCCCAAGTCAAGAGGAACCTGAGAAACAGTAAAGATGGGAAAGTAATCTTATCCATTTTGTTTTAGAACTCAGATCCTGGGGTTAGGCTGAACACTCAGATCATTCTGTCAATGGCTCTCAACCATTTTCCTACTTTAGTAACAGGGATCCCTAAGGCTGTGATTCTCAACCAAGGATAGGTGTAAATGTTTGAAAAAGCCACTCAGAAGCTTGAAAGGCCAGCCCTTCTGAGACTGAATACTAAACCTGTAATTTTATAGATGAAAATCCTAAAATCAGGAAGTGTTAGAAACAAGCAGGGTTAAGACTGAAGTCAGATCACCTGATTCCCAGGCCCTGCTCTTCTACTTCCTGTCTTTGGTTGTAAGTTCTCCTGTGGAATTTTCCTCTCCCCAATCACCCATTCACAAGTAGACAAGGTAATTTCTCCTAATGATTCTTCTGCCAGGCTGGCTCTGAAAGACTAGCAACAGGTACACTGAATACAGGTACGAGATTCCTGTACAAGCAATCTGGAGATAGGCTAGTTTACAATGACCTCTTTGAAAGGGCAAGCAGGTAACCTTTGCTAGCAATGACTAGCAAGACAGGATCATGTCTGGCTTTTAAAAAGCTCACACTATTTCCACAGGACTGTGCTCATTTAAGAGCCTGGTAACAAGTGCACAGTGTCAACAAGCTATCCAAATAATGAGCTGTCAAAAACTCAACAGCTAGTGCAGAAGAGGGCCAACTAAGGAGTCCATGTGCAGCTGTGTAGCTCACTGAATTCTCAAAGTCAGAGTCTTTCCAAACTCTCTGGTTTAATTTTGGAAATAGCCCCAGTCACACTTCCAAAATATTGATCCTAATAGTCCTAGGAAATGAAATTTGAGTGTTAATATACCTTGGGAGGTTAGTTCTATTTTGAGATGCCATGGAATCAAACCTCCAGGCAAGAATACACCTGGTGTTTGCTGAGATCAAAAGATAATAGGATGGTTTGTTTCCTTTACTTCACTTTTTAAAAGCAGGGTATTTTACACATAAGCAACTCAGCATACCCTACGCATCCAACTTTTCCCAAAGAGAGTGTATTAATTATCCATTGCTGTGTAACAATGACTATAAAACATAGTGGTGCAAACATCAAACATTTATGATGTTTCTGTGGGTAAGAAATTTGGGAGTGGTCTTGCTGGGTGGTTATGGATTGGGTTTCTCATGAAGTTGGGGTCAAAGCGTCTGTTGGGATTACACTTATCTAAAGTTAGCCTGGGACTGGAGAGTCTGTTTCCAAGATGGCTCATATGGTGTTTGGCAGGCAGGACCCTTCAGTTCTTTACCCCCAGAACCTCTGCAGAGAGTTGTTTGGAGGGTAGCCTCACAATACGGCAGCTAATACAGAAGAAAACTTTTCCCAAAGTGAGTGATCTAAGAGAGACGCAGGAGGAAGAAATGTTTTTTATTACGAAGACTTGAAAGTGAGCATAGCATTCCTTCTGCATTCTACTTTTGGGAGTGAGGTTCTCTGTACTCAGAGGGGAGTGATGCTCCATGTTTTAAAGAAGCATATCGAAGAATGTGCATATAAGATTTTAAAACCACCATCAGTAGCAAAGTATTGTTTCATTGTTTGTGGATAACAATTTATCAGGGTCCACTATTTTCAAATTAATGTTATTTTAAGTCAACAAGACTTATCTGTCAAAGATCCAGGCAGAAAATTAAAATATATCGATGTCTGAAACTAAGCTTCACATTAAGAACAAAATCCTTTCTTGCCCCATTAAAAAAAAGGTTCAAAATATTTGCTTCTTAGATAAGACAGGCTAATGATAATTTATAAAGGAATAAAATAATACTCCTCACCAAATCTTTCTCTTTTCCAAATATCTATTAACATTCATTTTCTAGACAGAAGCTGAGCCACGGGAAAATACTTGGCATTCCATTCCTACTTAAGGGATATATTATGACAATAAAAACTGTAGTATATAGTGTGGTCTTCAATACAGTCCACACTGTAGTTGTTTGCCACCCAGTGGACGAAAATGGTACTTTTTAAAAAGGATTTGAAAAATAACAAAACTTCATAGACGTTCTGAGGGTTACTTCTGTAATTTTTTTTTTTTCCCTTTTGCAGTCTGGGTTTTGAACTCAGGAACTGGTGCTTACTAGGCAGGTGCTCTACCACTTGAGCCACACTGTCATCCCTTTTGTTGCTTTAGTTATTTTTCAGATAGGGTCTCTATTGCTTTTTGCCTGGGGCTAGCCTTGGACCCTATCCTACCTACACCCCTGGGTGTAGCTGGGATTACAGATATACACCACCACATCTGGTTTGTTTGCTGAGCTGGGGTCTTGCTAACTTTTTGCCCAGGCTGGACTCAGAATGATTTCTACTTCCCAAATAGCTGGGATTACAGACATGCACCATACCTGGCATCTGTAACTTCTTATAATCATACTACATACTTGATGTGGATAGTTTCCGTTTCAACAGATTCTACAGAAAGTTTTTATTAAGTAAAGAATATTTGTTTTACAAATGTAATTTTCATATATATTGCTACCTCTGGAATTCTCCAGGCCAACAACCTAGAATATTGCTAAGTACCAGGAAATAATCCAGAAAGCCTCCTCTGGTCTGGGAGTATGCCTTGAATGGAGAGCTTCTGCCTATCAAGCATGAGGCCCAGAGTTCAAACCCCAGTGCCAGCAAACAAAACAAAAACCGGGAAATTCTCCTAGCAGCCAAAAGATGTCAGTGTTCACACACTGAAGCCCCATTAGGCTGACAACTAAAGGAACAGAGAATGGTTGGGTACATGGCACATGATACTCAGGAGAGGACATGTTTAAAAAACAAAAACAAAAAACAGTAAAAGGGTTAGGCGCGGTGGCTCACACCTATAATACCAGCTACTCAGTAGGTAGAGATTGAGGGGAAATTCAAGGTCAACCTGGGCAAAAGTTATGGCATCCCCATCTCAACAAAGTGGGTGTGGTGCTGTATGCCTGTCCTCCCAGCTATGAGGGAGGCTTAAGTAGAAGGAACATGGTCTGAGGCCAGGCCTAGGCAAAAAGTGCAAGACCCTGTCTGAAAAATAACTAAAGCAAAAAGGCCCAGGGGGATGACTTTAGCAAGCATGAGGCCCTGAATTCAATCCCCAGAACCACAAAAACAAAAACAAAAAAACCAATAAAACTCATTACTCTTACTCCAAGGATAGTCCTTTTCCCACAACCTAGTTTCTCTTTCCAGTCATGTACCTGAGTCCTACAAACCTCCTGATCTGGATTCTAATCTAACAGCAGATCAGTGGAGCAAGAACTGGCTCAAGAAAGTTCATTTTTATTAAACTATTTAATAAAATAGATTATTTAGATTGACAACTAATAGGAACTAAGAAAAGTATGGAGAAGAGACAACAGAAACCACATCATTCTTGAGGCCAGTTGGGAACAAGCAATTCAGTGCAATTTGAGTTTATAATAACTCTGTCAAGAAATGGTCTCTTTTTGCCAGGCACCAGTGGCTCACAGCTGTACTCCTAGGGAAAATAGGGCTAGAGGAAGTATCACTCTCCTCAAATTCTGCAAATTAAGCTAAAAAACAAACAACCATCCCCACATCTTTCTTCATAGAATTTTCTTTTGTTGTAAAAACAAAAACAAAACAAAAAAGCTACAAAGGGTATCACAATTTCAAATATAAATGCCAGTAGTAACTTTTCTCCCACAAAACCTTCATTTTTAACTATAACTTAGTCTTCCAAAAGACATGTTATTCACATAATTTAATTCAAGTCGAACTATAAACGATTGTTGACTGCATGCACAGTACTATGCTCTGTACAGGGTAAGGTATAGCCCATACTCATAAAGAGCCTGATGCTTATATTGTAGAGTTGCAAGCGGGAGACAGAGACTAAGAGAAATTCGAAGAAGTAATTATTATAATAAATTACCTGAGGCTGAAGAGGAGAATGCTTAAGATAAATAAAAAAGACAGCAACTAGCTCACCATTGACTCCGTAAAATACAAATGACACCTAGCTCCCACTTGCTTCCCAATTTCCTTCTTGCTTTGTTATCACCTTCTTCCTGCCAATGCTAAGTTGCCTGAACTTGAGCACTTCCAAATAATTTTGAACTTTAAAATAATAATGGGAGAGTGAACATGGATTAGGATGGTAAAGCTAATAATCAGCAAACAGCTTGTTCAACCACTGTGCAGACTTTTACATGTGACTTTGCATCTATAATTCTTTGAAATACTTTCCTTTCTCTTAGGTAGGGTAGGATGTAAAACCATGGTGGTCCCATCCAGACCACGTTAGATGCTTTTAAAAAGGGGGCAATGCTGGGTATGATCGTTCACACCTGTAATCCCAGTAATTGGGAAGTTGAGGTAGAGGAGGATTACAAGTTCCAGGCTAGCATGAGCTACATAACAAGACATATCTCAATAAAAGGTGGGGGGCGGGAAGCTAGATACAGATACATGCTCTTCTAAACACCAGAGCTACTTTGGAGATAGTATCCTATTCAAGACAAAGATAATAGTGTGACAAATAATTCTGGCTTAAGTGCCTTACAGCGGTCATTATAAAAAGTCTATGTTTTCATTGTAAATGAGCCAAACTCTAAAGAACCTACCAATTTGTGCCTCCTTTCATCTCCATGGCTGTGGTCCTCCCACAGAAATAACAAAAGACCAGAAGAAGAAAAAGGTACAAAATGTCAGTATGAGCAATGTTTTCCTATCAAGTCATGCATTTATATTTAGAAACATGTATTTTTGAGTTTTCAGGAAAATATTTTATTTGCTTTTAGGCTGAATCTGCAAAAAAAGGCACTCAAACCACTAAATAGCATCCTTATGAAAATAGGAACAATGTGAACCTGAAATGGTTACTAAATATAGATGCTGTATTAGGTTATTCTGATTATTTGAAAAGTCTGCAAGTAAATAGCTCATAGATTACTTCTTGCTCTAAAATGTAATCATTTTAGATGTGAAAGCTACCCATTTCTGATAAAGATTCTGGAATACATTAACACTGAATAAAATATTTATTGTGATTTTTTCCCCTGTGACATGAGATTGTTTAGTTTTCCTAGCTCTCCAAATGACACAGTTGCAGAGCCTCTTTCAGCTGGTCTTGCCTGAAAATAATGGAAACAATGAAAAACATTAGCAATAGATAATGACAGCTCAGATTAAGCTCTTACTCCTCTCATATATAAAAAAACCCACCCTAAGTTAATAAATAAAAAACAAATATGAACCAAGAAAAGTGATGCCTTAATGTTACCTGAGAATCATGGTATTTCCATCCTATCATGTGATAAATCTGGTAAGTGGCAGGTACTGAACCATCCTCATTTCTGTACATTTCTATAAAGACAAATAATGGTTAGTCTGAAAAAATGCAAATCACCTCCTCCAAAGAGAAATTCGTACTAGGATATTGTAGGATTCTGAGCATGCCTCACAAGAAAAATTCTTAATATGGAGAGGTTGAAAGTAAGGACATTAACAAGGGCTGTTTGGAAAAAGATACAGAGCTATGGAAACTGTGTCCTGAGAGGAAGGACACTGAAGTCTGCTGGTACCTTACCAGGAAAGGAAAAAGCATTGGCAATATGAAGGGAATTAACATGAAAGAGCCCAGGCTCCTTAGTGAGGCATGGGTGGAAACAGTGGGCAGCCCCCTTACCTCTGTAGACTGCTGCAGCTGCCAGCATTGTGTCTCGGTGCAGCAGGGCTTTTCTATTCCAAGAACAGTTACTCTCACCCATACCTAAAAATACACTAAAGGCAGTCTGAGAGAACACATAAATACCCTGAGCAGTTCGGTATCACCGACTTAACACATCTCATTCAATAGTATATCCATCCACAGTCTAACAGTCATGTAAAATAACCTAAATCTCATTCTGCTTTCACCAGACTATAGCTAGGGTTAGTGATTCTGAAGCAAAACCACTGAAACCCTGAAATATTAAACAGATGAAGAAGTCAAATTTCAGGAGGGAAGCCCCATGATGCTTTCCTTGCCAAAAATAGTCTAAAGTAAGCCAGGTAGGCAAAAGCAAGGTGACATGCTCCCCTACCCTCATGAGTCATCGGTACTGACAAGTGCCTTTCTATAGATGCCATATCTTGTGTCCTTTTTAGTTATGCTCTTTGAAAAAAGACAGGATAAGGACACAATGCCTTACTTCTAAGCCATAAATATATGAGTGTAATATGTGGAAGAAGGCTATGAGACTCATTAGATAGCACCAAAGACATGTGTTTCAGATTTTACAATATTTTACTATTGCCACATTAAAAAAGAATTATGTGCATTTCCAGAGATGCTTCTCTTCATATTTTAAAATTTATTTTTAGATTTCTTTCCTTAAAGCTGATGGGTAAAAGTTAATACTAATGAAAAATGAGAGGAAAAATATAAGAAAAAAATTAATGCAGGATTGGCAATTTAGCTTGCCTAGTATGCAGAAGGCCCTAGGTTTGATCCCAGAAACACAAAAATAACAATAGGTTTTTTTATGTATACACTTAAACAAAATTACTTTGGAAGGCCATATTTTAAATCATTTTGCAAAATTAAAAGAATTAAAAAAATAAAAGTCCTACTGGGTGCTGGTAGCTCATACCTGTAATCCTAGCTAATTGGGAGGTTCTCTCTTTTAGGCCAGCCCTGGCAAGGAGTTCACAAGACCCCATCTCCAAAATAACCAGAGCAAAATGGACTAGAGATGTGAGTCAATCACCTGCTTTACAAATTCACAGCCTTGAATTCAAAATCCCAGTCCCACCAAAAAAAAAAAACAATCTTTAAAACTTTACTACATGAGCAAGTGTCAGTTTCTGACTTTTGTTTTTCTATTTTCAAATCAAGAAATGAATAAATTTCCCAGTATCCATATACTTTAACAGTTTACAAATAATAACCTACCAAGTTTTCAATAGCTTTATTAAAGAGTCAACAAATTAGCTGTAATAACTAATCCTTTTTCTTCTCTCTAATCTCACAAAGTTCCTATTATTCTCTAAAATAATGAATCTAATTCTAAACTCAATGTCCAGCATCTTGTGAGTTTTAACAGCCCCAATTCATGATTTGTAAAAGAAACAAAACTAGGCTAATTATTAAGAAAAATGTGTACTTTTTTTTTTTTTTTGGCAGTGCTAGAGTTTGAACTCAGGGCTTTGTGCTTGCTAGGTAGGCACTCTACCACTTGAGTCATATCTTCATCCCAGGGAACTTGTTTTTGCTACCATGAAGCAGCTGGATGATTTTAGGACAATCAGTGTAGATCTTCAAGGTAGCAGGGCTTGAACTTAGGGTACTGAGGCTTGAATTCTAGGTTTCATGCTTCCTAAGCAGGTACTCTACCACTTGAGACACTCTGCCAGCCTGTTCTTATGTTGGGTATTTTCAAGATAGGAACTATTCGCCCAGGCTGCCCTTGAACCATGGTTCTCCTGACCTCTGCCTCCTGAGTAGCTAAGATTACAGTTGTGAGCCACAGGCACCTGACTGGAAAAGCCTACTGTTGATGATGGATGCAGTTCTTTAGTTTCTGCTCAACTTTCATTGGCTTGGCTTACTTACATGTTATAGACAACACCAGCAAAAACCAATGTAAGTTTTACAAATATAAATATATGATTTATTAGACACTCTAAAATTCCTTCCAAATAATCAGTACTTGGATAGGCTAATTAAGATTATTAGGCACATGCTATCTCTGTAGGTCTGACTCAGCTCAGCTATAAAGAAATTCAAGGGCTGGTGGCATGGACCAGACCAAATGCCTGCCTGGCAAGCATAAGGCCCTAAATTCAAACCTCAGTACCACCAAAAAACAGAGTTCTTAGGGAGAAAAGGGCATTGCTGCACAGTACTGGAACTAACTGTTGCTGCAACCGTACACTCTTCCCTCACCAAAGAAATGCACTGCCATACTGAACTTCCCCTTGTGTGAAGCAGTGAAAACAATCTGTGACTTTGGGATCACAATCATTTGTGACTTCAGACTCAGCCAGGGCTTGGGATAACAGAAAACCCAGCCAGCAGGCACTTGTTTAAGACTCTCACAGTGATTTTAAGGTTAAGTTCAAATGCTTATTAAAAAACAAAACAAAAACTTATTATGGTTTACTAGGAACAATACTGAGTATTGCCTAAAAAATACCTGAACTTACCTTAAAACTACTGTGAAAGCCTTGAAAATGTCACATGCATTCATCAGCTGATATGCAACTTGTTTTGTAAAACTAGGTCAACATTCTGGACCTTTTTTTTTCTGCGAATTAATAATAATGGCAACTTAAATGAGACATACCACAACCACTGAGAAAAAAAAGTATAACACAAATCAAAACACCAAAAACCAATCTTCCAATCAGCAAAGCATCTGGACATCTCCCAAACTCTTTCGTTCATCCTATGATGATTCTTCTTCCCATCCCATCTCCCTCTGATTTTTTCAGTGGTAGAGTAGTAAGACTTCAGGGTATGAATTAGGCTGCTTTGCCTAGATTTACATCCTGGCTGTACTAACAACATCATCTTGGATAAGTTACTTAACTTCTTACTGTGCCTCAATTTCCTCACATACAACAACACAGATTGACCAGTCTTACCTTGTTTATAAACTATGCCTCATAAACAATGCTCTCTAACACACTAATCTGGCTCATCTGAAAAATACCTCTGATCCTCTATCATTTTCCATCATTTTCCCAGTCTACCTACTTAAGCAATACTGAGTTATAGTTAGTGCACAGTTCCTTCATCAGAAAATTAAAGAACATGCACAACCTGTGTTGCCCCATGTTTGTTTGGGTTTCTTTTTTTTTGTTTTGTATGTTTGTTTTCTCCTCCTAATGCTGGGCATCAAACCCAGGGCCTCATACATGACAGGTAAGGGCTCTACCACTGAGCAACACTCCCAACTGGCCCCCATGGTCTTACACAGACTGTGCCCGCTGTGTGGAATGCAATGTCCACCACTCTAAAACTCCTAGCAAACTTATTTTAGCTTAGGTGCTACCTGCTCTAAAAAAGTTTCTCTGATACCCTTGAAAGATTTAGGGGCTTTTGTTCCTTGTGCATCTCTCATTCTACAATTGAAGACTTGTCTGACTATTTTCTGGGTTTCTTTCTCCTAGAATATCAGCTACTTGAAATCAGGAAGTATGCATTTCCACCACTGGTACATGGCAGATGCTCAGTAAATGGTAAGTGAGTGAATACCAAATCAACCTGTTGGGGCTAGCAAAGTGGCTCAAGTGGTAGAGCACCTACCTAGCAAGTGTGAGGCCCTGAGTTCAAATCCTAGTACTACCACCACCGAAAAACAAACAAACAAACAAAAACCAACCTGTTGGTGTTTATATCTAGTTTGTTAGGTAGCACTTTTACACATTTTCTTTAGATAACTCTTCTTAATCCTCCTACAGATAAGAAACTTCCAAGACTAAAGCACATGATTTTTGTGAAAGGCTTTAAAGTTAGAAATAAGAGAACTGGCAAAGTTTCTCAAAAGTAAGTATTAGGAATAGTTCCTCAAAATTAAAGACCTATTTAAAACTCTTAGGTAAAGAGGTCACCAACTAGGAGGGGGCCTTAGGCAACCTTTTGGGGAGCTAGAAATGTTCCAAAACTTGGTCTAGAAGGTGTTTAAAAATACAACCTTTAAGCTTAGTGCACTTAACTGAATATATATGCTAACTTCAATTCTTAAAAAAATCCACATATGAACTATGCAGTGTAGGACTATGAATTAAAATCATAACTCCAGATTTAGAATGACCACACATAAGGTATTTCTTGATGTCTCAATTTGCTCACTTATAAAATTAGGATATTAGAAAACCTCAGCTGGGCATAGCAGCTCATGCCTACAATCCCAGCATTCAGGAGGCTTAAAGCAGGAGGATCACAAGTTCAAAGCCACTCTATCTCAAAAACAATGGCTGAGGATATAGCTCAGTGATAGCGCTTCTGTCTAGTATATGCAAAGCTGTGGGTTTGATCACCAGAACCACAAAAACAAAACAAAACAAAAACCCTCAGAGAACTCTACAAAGTATGGTATTTTTAAATCTTGAAATCAGTGGGCAAGTAACCTTTTCTAAATGATAGGTCTAATTTCTAGTCTCTGTCTCTTTTCTTTCGTGAAATGAGTCATAAACACAGCATTTATTATAGATCAGTAAAAAAATAAATGCTGTATTTGAAGTTTTTTCTTTTTAAATCCTTGAAGCCTAAATGAGAAATAATCAGCAATTATCTCTCAAGTAAGTTTTTGGATAAAAGGGCCCCATGATTATATCAGGGTGGGCTTAATATTTCTGGCAGGAAAGGAAATGAAATTTTCTTTTTAATTGATTTTCTCTTATCTTAGCCATGTACCTACAGGTTGCTAACCCTATGTTACATTATGAAAAGTGACTACAATGATAAGTATTCAGCTATCATATTAAGTTGACAGAAGTTCCACACTCAGAGGAGGCTGGACAATGGGTGAAACAGACCTTATAAATGGGCAACCACAGGAAGCAATATAGTCAGTTAAGTAGCAAAGGTCAGAGATGAGTTTGGGATCTAATTCTGCCACTAACAACCAAGTGTTCTCTTCAGGCCTAATTTTTCTCACTTGTAAATATTGGGGGCAGAGCTGGCAGAGTGCCTCAAGTGATAGAGTGCCTGCCTGGCAAGCATGAAGCCCTGAGTTCAAACCCCTGTACCACCAAAAAAATAAATTAATTTAATTACACTTGTAACCTTTTCATCAATCACTTCTTTTTTCTCTTTTTGGCAGTACTAGGGAGTGTGAACTCAGGGCCTCTTGCTTGCTAGGCAAGCGCTCTTACCGCTTGAGTCACTCTATCAACCCTTTTTTGTGTTGGGTATTTTTTGAGATAGGGCCTCACAAACTATATGCCCAGGCTGGCTTTGAACCATGATCCTCCTAATCTCTGTTTCTTGAGTAGCTAGGATTATAGGTGCTGAGCCACCAGCACCCAGCCTCTCACCTTTTTTTAAAAAATTAGTTTTTGTAACCAAACCCACATAGATAAAGACCTTACACATTTAATACAGTGCATTGCCCTGTACAAATGGGAAAAAAATAAGGTTAATGTTGCTAGACCAATATGGGTATTAATTTCTGTACCATGCCAATCTCATCTGTTTTTCTCAGCCAAACTTCTTAAGAGGACCATAGATATTTTCTGTCTCTAGTTCCTCACTATCTACTTACACCTAGACCTTGTCCCAACTCTTCTCACTCCAACAAAGGAGCTCTCACCAACACTGCTTATAACCTTCCTGATCCTAAACCTAACAGATTTTTGTTTCAGTTTGATGTTGCTAAGTGCTCCCTTAGTTTTGAAAACTGCTTTCCCTTAGTTCAGGTAATTCTATACTTTCCTGGTGTTTCTGCTCAACACATTGCTGGCCATTCCTTCTCAGTCTTTGTAGGCTTGTCCTTCTACCCAGCTGCTGTACAGTAAGCTCCTACAGGGTCAGAACCAAGACACTTTACCTTCTTATTATATGTCCTTACCTTTGACAACTGCCTCATATACTGCTTATTCAAAAATGATTTAGGACTTTTAACCAGGCTAGTGGCCACCTCTAAGCTACCTGCTCATATACTCAACTGCCTACCTAATATCTCTTAGATACTTCAAAATCACTTCATACCCAAGGTATTCAAACATGAACACAAGACCTATTTCTGCCCATCCACACTTGGTCTTCTACTGCTTCCTTTGTCTGCGAATAGCACCATGTATCTGGATATAAGCTAGAAACTGAGCACTTATGCTTGAAACATTTCTCTCATCTACCTGATCTAATTCACCAATGAGAACTGTCAAATCTCCCTGCTATATATCTCTGAATGTACTCACTTCTTTCCATCTCCATTGCCACCACCCTACAGCAAAGTACCACCATCTCTTGATGAACTTTAATGCACAAAGTTTCCTTATTGGTTTACCTGCCAATTCATTATTTTTAAAATATAAATCTGATATTGTGACCTCTTCCCTTTTCCCCTATTAAAGTGTCTCAAGGAATATTTTAACCTTAACAAGGCCTATAATGTCCTGATGCATGATCTGACCCTCATTTACCCATCAACTTCATCTTTCTCCTTCTTACTCACTATATTCTAGCCAAAATGCTTTTCTTTCCAATATTGCTGTGTTCTTTCTTGCAATGAGGTCTTTGCATATGCTGTTCTCCTTGCATAGAACTCACTTCTCTGCCCTTTCCACCTTGTTAACTCATCTTCATTTCTTTAGGGAAAAGCTTAATTCCAACTATTCCACAAACAAGACTTCTTGAGTCTTAAAGACCAGGACTCAGGATTCTTCCCACTGATTGAATGTCAATCCTAAACTTACCATCTCATGCCTAGACCTGAGATGCCAACTGTACCCTATGAGGAAGTCCTGCCATCCTTCTGGAAGCAGCTATACATACTACTATTACCTACCTCATGGCACTAACTGCAATTCTAATTTAATAACTCTTTGTGATAGCTGCCTGGTGTTCTGATTACTCTATTTTATATATCATAAGCTCCATGAAGACACTCTGCTTTCTTTTCGTGAATGGATTCCTAGTGCTTACCCCAATGCCTCCCATAGAGCAGACCCTCAAAACGTCTCTCAAATGGAGTCTAAAAATTATTTAAAATTCCATACCTTGTAAATCTTCCATCAATTCAAACATTCCAGGATAGTTAACTTGGATTTCATCAGTGTCCTATTTAAAAAAAAAAAAGGTAATAGTTGAGATTCATCATAAGGAAAATATAGATTTTATCAGGAAGGAGACAAGGATGCCCACTATCCCCACTCCTATTCAACAAAGTACTAAAATTCCTAGCCACCAGATCAATTAGGCAAGAAGAGGGAATAAAAGGAATATAAATAAGTAAAGAAACTGTCAAAATATCCCTATTTGCAGACGATATTATACTATACCTTAAAGACCCAAAAAACTCTACTCAAAAGCTCCTAGACACCATCAATAGCTATAGTAAGGTAGCAGGATATAAATTCAACATAGAAAAATCATTAGCATTTCTATACACTAATAATGAACAAACTGAGAAAGAACATATGAAAACAATTCCATTTACAATAGCCTCAAAAAAAAATCAAATACCTAGGAGTAAACTTAACAAAGGATGTGAATGACCTCTACAAGGAAAACTATAAACTCCTGAAGAAAGAGATTAAGGAAGAATATAGAAAGTGGAGAGATCTCTCATGCTCATGGATTGGTAGAATCAACGTAGTAAAAATGTCTACACTCCCAAAAGCAATCTACACATTTAATGCAATTGCCATCAAAATTCCAATGACATTCATTAAAGAGATTGAAAAATCTACCATTAAATTTATATGGAAACACAAGAGGCCATGAATAGCCAAGGCAATACTTACAAAAAGAACAATGCTGGAGGTATCACAATACCCGACTTCAAACTAAAAACAGCATGGTACTGGCACAAAAACAGACATGAAGACCAGTGGAACAGAACAGAGGACCCAGATATGAAGCCACACAACTATAACCAACTTATCTTTGACAAAGGTGCTAAAAATATATGATGGAGAAAAGACAGCCTCTTCAACAAAAACTGCTGGGAAAACTGGTTAGCAGTCTGCCAAAAACTGAAACTAGATCCATGTTTATCACCCTATACCAGTGTTAACTCAAAATGGATCAAGGACCTTAATATCGGACTCCAAACTCTAAAGTTAGTACAGGAAAAAGTAGGAAATAGTTTGGAACTAATAAGTATAGGCAAGGAGTTTCTCAGTGGAACCCCAGCAGCTCAGCAACTAAGTGATAGCATAGATAAATGGGACTTCACAAAACTGAAAAGCTTCTGCTCAACAAAAGAAATGGTCTCTAAACTGAAGAGACCACCCACAGAGTGGGAGAAAATATTTGCCAGCTACACATCAGACAAAGGACTGATTACCAGAATATATAGGGAACTCAAAAAACTAAACTCTCCCAAAATTAATGAACCAATAAAGAAATGAGCAAGTGAACTAAACAGAACTTTCTCAAAAGAAGAAATTCAAATGGCAAAAAAAATATGAAAAAATGCTCACCATCTCTAGTCATTAGGGAAATGCAAATCAAAACCACACTAAGATTCTACCTCACCCCTGTTAGAATAGCCATCATCAAAAACACCACCAACAACAGGTGTTGGCAAGGATGTGGGGAAAAAGGAACCCTTATACACTGCTGGTGGGAATATAAACTAGTACAACCACTCTGGAAAAAAATTTGGAGGCTTCGTAAAAATCTAAATTGATGATATACCCAAAGGAATGCGACACAGGTTACTCCCAAGGCACTTGCACACCCATGTTTACTGCAGCACTGTTCACAAGAGCCAAGTTATGGAAACAGCCAAGATGCTCCACTATTGATGAATAAGCAAACATGGTATTTATACACAGTGGAATACTACTCAGCCATGAAGAAGAATGAAATCTTATCATTTGCAGGTAAATGGATGGAACTGGAGAACATCATCCTCAACGAGGTTAGCCAGGCCCAGAAGACTAAAAATCGTATATTCTCCCTCATATGCGGACATTAGATCAAGGGCAAACACAACACATGATGAGGCGAGAGCACACAAGGGAGGTATGACGATAGGCAAGAAACCCCAAAAAACCAAGATAGCATTTGATGTCCTCAATGCAAAGGAACTAATGCAGAAACTTTAAAGTGACAGAGGCCAAAAGGAGAAGGGGACCAGGAACTAGAGAAAAGGTTAGTTTGAGAAGAATTAATTTAGAATGTAACACATATGTATAGGAAATCAATGTGAGTCAACTCCCTGTATAGCTATCCTTATCTCAACTAGGAAAAACCCTTGGTCCTTCATATTTTTGCTTATACTCTCTCTTAAACAAAATTAGAGATAAGGGCAAAATAGTTTCTGCCTGGTAGTGATGAGGTAGGGTGGAGAGGGAGGGGGCGGGGGGAAAGGGAAAGGGTGGGGAGAAGGGGGGAGAAATGACCCAAACATTGTATGCACATATGAATAAAAGAAAATACAGATTTTAAAAGAAAAGAGGTTGTCGATTTCCCAGACCAACCTCTCATGGTAAGTAATAAAATTTTCTTTTTTCTTTTTTTAGTTCAGCAGGGCCTCTTGCATGCTAGGCAAGCACTCTACCACTGAGCTACATCTTCAGCCCCAAGAAATTTTTTATGGCATTATTCATAGATGTCCCCTGGCTTACACTTGATCTAAGAAGACTTCAAATTACTCAATAACTACTCCGCATGGCAAGAGAAACCCTAAAACTCTATCAACTGGTTCCTTTCTCTCCTGGGAAATAACACTGAATAACCCTATTCTGTATCTACACACCATCCCCTTCTTATTCAAGTCTTTGAAAATTCTTTTAGCACACGATAGTTTTGTTATTTGGGGGTTGAGAGCTGGTCTTATAGACAAAACTTAGAGATGTTTACATGTTCTGACTACATTTCCCTGGACAGTCAGTGTCAGTCTTTCTTAAGATGTGGCACAGAATCAAGCCAAACAGTCACCTCCCAAGATATTTCCACCCTGCCTCTAGTTACACAATCAACACTCACTGGCCTTTCAAGGAAAAGAACACAATGCTGGCACAGTTCTCAAGTGAACTACCAGGCAAAGCCTCTCCCTTCGTTTTGAAGCTTTATGTGCAGTTAACTGTGGGTACAGTGGTAGAGACTACTGATGCTCCCCAAATACACAGATGTTCTTTGACAATTCTCAGCTTCAGATTTCTTCTGACCAAAGAAAGGAGAGGCCAAGTAATAAGGAGTTATGAGCCATTTCCAGGCCATCTCTTTTGCTGTGGTGGCCTTAGAAGACACAAGAGCCAGATAGCACAGTTATAAAATGGAGACATGAAGCTGGGGACGTAGCTCAGTGGTAGAGTACTTGCCTAGTATGTACAAGACTCTGGGTTTGATCACCAGCACAATAAATAGAGTTCTAAAATGAAGATGAGGTATCCAACTAGCATGAAGATATAATGTGATAAAACTTCATGTTGCTAAGCACTGAGATAAATGAATTTGTCTGTACTGGAAACTGGTCCTAAAAAAAATCCAAATGTCATAGTTAGAGGACTGATTAGATAAAGAATATCTATTTAATGAAAATACACAGATGTTAAGAAAGAATGAATATATCTTAGAAGATCTCCAAAGTATGTATGAAAAAAAAAGCAAAGGAATACATACATAAAAAAATGTGGGTTTAAATGACATAACTATATTCTGATGTATAGGGGAAAATTCTTTTGAAAGGAAATACAGGACACAGTTAATAAATCTTTGAGGAGGGGGACAAGGTTTCAGAAGTCAGAGTCTTATTTCACTTTAGAAAAAAAGACTGTCTTTGCTCTATCTTATTCTCTTACATTTTACTCTTCCTTTTTTCTTTTTAAATACATGTGTGGATCAGGTTGTGTGCAAGTTTTTTAGTAAGAGCATTTCTCTAAGTAAGTATTTCTTAAAATGGACCTTGACCATGACCATTCCATCTCTACACTTATCTACATTAGCAAACTATTTTATTTTTTTTTCATTTTTCTTTTATTATTCATATGTGCATACAAGGCTTGGTTCATTTCTCCCCCCTGCCCCCACCCCCTCCCTTACCACCCACTCCACCCCCTCCCGCTCCCCCCCCCAATACCCAGCAGAAACTATTTTGCCCTTATCTCTAATTTTGTTGTAGAGAGAGTATAAGCAATAATAGGAAGGAACAAGGGGAGCAAACTATTTTAAAAAGGGGGTGATTACAACAGATAGGATAGAAGAAGGAAAGAGAGAAAGAGGGGTGGAGGAAAAGAGAGAAAGAGAAAGAGAGAGAGATCTTAAGAAAATTTCTTCCAGGCTGATACTTAGCCACTAAGTAATATTCTTTTAAAACAATTTTTCAATAAAGCCAACTAAAAGCACTGTCTCTATCTCCATCAAGAGTATCACAATCACTTTGTCAAAGGCCTTATTCAAATTAAGATGGATATTTGCAGCTTTCTCTAATGTACTAGTCTGCCAGCTTTATTCTAAAGGGAAATGAGCTTCATTTAGAATGCCTCCTAACTCTGAAAATAATTCATTAAGGGGGCATATTAGTATAAAAACAACTATATGATATGAATTTGACTTGATTCACTTTTTAAATAAAAATTGCAGTATTAAAATAATCCATCTAATATATGCAACATAAACCCATACAATTGGTTATATAAAAGCTTTTCTGGTCACACCTGTAATCCTAGCTACTCAGAAAACACAGATCAGGAGCATTAAGGTTCAAAGCCAGCCCTGGGCAAATAGTTTCACGAGACCCTATCTCAAAAAAACACATCACAAATAAGGACTGGTGGAGTGGCTCAAGCAGTAAAGCAAATGTCAAATTTAATTCATTAGAAAACAAAGAGAATAATGTAACTAAAAAATCCATGAGCTGTTCATGAAAAGATGAATAACGTAGGAAACTTTCCAGAATCTGGTTGACAAAAGCCAAAATGCTATTTTTGTTAAGACAGGCGCTGGGTAAGAGTGCCTGCCTAGTAAGGTGAGGCCCTGAGTTCAAACCCCTGTGACTCACAAAAAAAAAAAAAAAAGGACTTTTTGTATGAGAATTTTTAGAAAATTACGACCCAACACTGACACAGCACTTCAGAGAAAGTATATACACTTCAAAGGATAAATGTAATGATTCAAGAAACAAATTCTTATAAATACATATAAAATATAATTTTATAAATCATGAAGATTCTATACCAATATTTTTGTAATATATTAACATTTGAATATTTGGCTCCTTTTTGAAGCATATGGAACATATTCTGAATTAGACTTCTCAGTTAACAGAAATTTAATGCTGTAATATCAAGTCAAACATTTTTAACAGAAGTCTAAAACATAACCTACTTTACAACTGTAGAAAACCATGGTCAATACAATTTAACTCTCATTTGGTAACTGAAGATAGGATGTCAATTTTTTCCTAATGGACAACTTTGGAGTCTCCCAATATTGTGACTAACCCGTGTGACCTTGCACAAATTATGATCACCAGGATAATGTGCACCATGCCGTACCATGTCACCTGATCCCCATACCTTTCTGACAGAGGCTTTACATTCCCAGAAATTCTTTTACCTTATATTATGTGGTATAGCAGTAGTTCTGAATGCAGAAGCAGACATGAGACTTTAGCACTCTTTTATTAAGGCCATGCACCATGGAAATGTGTAAAAATGTGATAATGACATTCTTTTTTTTTTTTTTTTTTGGGTACTGGGGTTTGAACTTATGACCATGTGCTTGCTAGGCAGGTGCTCTACTACTTAAGCCACAATTCCAGCCCTGACAATGACATTCTTAACTTCCTATTTTTCTTTTGGAAAATACAGTTCTTTTTCATAAAAAGCAAGTTACTCATATGAACAAGTAATTGGGGTACTATTAGATTTTTTTGTTTGTTTTTGTTTGTTTTGGCAGTACTGGGGTTTGAACTCAGGGCCTTGAGTTTGCTAGGCAGGCACTCTACCACTTGAACCACTCTGCCAGTCCAGTATAGTGTTAGTTTTAAATTAATAAATACTTAAATAAGTTTGGTTTTAATTTCTAATACATAACTCACATAAAATCCTCAATAATTTTTAGGTGTGCAGAGGGATCCTGAGGCTAAAATTTTGATAAATGTTGCTCTCCAGAAGAGAGTTAAGATTTTGGGGATTGAAAGGGAATGATAGACTTTCACTTTATCTGTATAGTTTACAACCAACAAATAGTTGCATATTACTTATACAATTAAAGATGTAGTAAAAAATACAATAATCCCTCAATGTACAATTTCCCATATCAATAACATTAGCTTTTCTTCCCCTCTCCTCTCTTTTTTTCTTTTAGAGAAAGAGTCTTGTTATATAGCCTAGAAGGGTCTTGAACTCATGACACTAACTTGAGCAATTTAAAAGTTTATAAAAGGTCAAACCTAGATGCAGTTGAGAAGTCATGAGGGCTGTCTTCAGTTCTTAGCCTAGTCTTTTAGCCTGTTGTTTCTCCCCTTTCCTGGAAGCCTGTAACATTAGGGGTCCTGCTGGTTTATGCCCCTTGCTCTCTTTCAACATATGAAAGGATATGACAGTCTATTTTTTGGTTAGTTGATGTTTTGAAGCACATTCACATGAAAGTACCCCAGATAGAGCTATTTTAATTTTAAATCTATTATCTCTAATTATTCAATGAGAAGCTTTCTTCATCTAAGGGATGAAATTAAATGTCACAATGAAACCCCCTCCCCCGGACAACTAATACATGCTAATAAAAAAGAAATTACAATTTCCTGTAATCAGAATTAAGTATGTTTCTAAGCCTGAAGGGTTTGGAAAATCACAGTAAGTCTACTCAATGGATTTCTGAGGAGAATAGTAAGTCCTTGCTACAGGAAGGAGTTGAAGTGGGCAATCATTTTTTTCTATAGATGATTTTCTTTTGGAAGTTTATTCCCAGAAAGTTCTAGGAGTAGAAGGATGCAGAAGAGGAGTTAGTATCTATTGGGCAGGAGTTAGTATTCATTGAACATCAACCATGGTCCTTATTCTTCACATCCTTTATCCCATTTAATACTAACAGCCACCTGAAGTGAGAAACATTTGCACTTTTAAAAGAAAGGTACATTCAGAGAAGTGAAGAAAATCACCTAAGTTCCTCTAGTTAATAAAGGGCAGGGTAAGGATTTTAGTTACATCCACTGACACCAATGCCCTGTCCCATCACTATATCATAATGACTCCATGTTTCTTCCTACCAATACCTTTTCTAGAAATCTCTAGCCCTAATGGAAAAGAATATGTCCTACCTTGACTAAGCCTAGGTTTGGAGATTTCAAGGTAATTCTGTCTCATATGCACTGCTTCAACTGAAGGCTGATGGTGGGGGACAGTACTATAAATACTCTCGTAAATGCCCCCTTTTTCCCCCATCACCTGCAATGCTCTAACTCCTACATTATCTCTAACTCTGAACTTGAAGATTCTGAAGGAGTGATATGCTTAGTATCCTCATTAACTATGGTACTTTTTTATGGCAGCACTGGAGTTTGAACTCAGGGCCTCATGCTTGCTAGTCAGGCACTCTTACCGCCTGCTGCTCTGCCAATGCTGTGGTACTTTTTTAGAGCTGCTTATTCTGGTAACAAATACTAAAAATTTTAAAATTCCTATCTCATGTTAATCAAGTTGTGTTTATGTACACTATACACACTAAACATAGTCAACAAAAGCTTTTCCTTAAAAAGAAAAAAGTAGAGCCATGAGCAAGTAAGAGAAAGTTCTAAAAACACTCCAGGATACTATCAATATATATAGTTTTCTATGTTTAAGACAAAAAGTTGTTTCTGAACAGTATAATTAATGGGTTATTTGATTCTCTTGATAGTTACCACAGTCAGTGTATTAAAGCCAGCTTTCCCAAGCAGATGTCCAAGGTCATTGACAGCAGTGAAAGGAGAAATGTGTGGAGAAAATCCTCCTTCCCTTTCTGTTTCTGCTAACTGTAATGAACAACGAAGTTCATAGAGAGTGTCACCTCCAAACATTGCACCAACAAACACTCCATCTGGTTTTAAAACATAATGAATCTGTAATAAATACAAGATAAAACTATTCAAAATTTTACAAAAATTTCAAAAGAATATATAGTGTCTAAATTGGTATTTTATAGTCATAACAATCTTATTTTTGCAAATTAACTAGATAACTTAACATCTAACATGACCAGAAATTTCAGTCATTGATGAAGTAATTGTAAAGAGAGACAATACACTCATCAATATTAACATATGTAAGAATATATGTTTTCAAATTTTATAATAAATACAACTTATTTTTTTTTTTAATGGTACTGGAGTTTGAACTCAGGGTTTTATGCTTACAAGGCAGGCGCTCTACCACTTGAGCCACACATCTAGCTCTACGACTTACTTTTTACAGTCAGAAAAACATCAAAAGAAAAAAATTTTTGCAGTAGATTGCAAAAATCACAATCCTCTCTATGCCTATGCTCTCTGAAATGTCAAAGTCATTTCATAAGAACTCCTGTCAAGAGATGGAGTCTACTTCCCTTCTCCTTGAATTTAGGATGGCCTTGTGACTTGCTTTAGCTAAAATGCAGAAATGACAGTTTCAAGTTCAGTTCTCAAATGGCCTTGCATGCTCCTACATGACCTCTTAGAGCATTGCCCAGGCATCATGTTCTGAACAATTCTGTGCTAGCTCGATGGAGGATGAGAGACATGTGAAGGCCATCCTAAATCAGCCAGCTTCTAATCTGGCAGCTGGTAAGACAGGAGTCAGCCAAGCCGGATTTAGAAGAGTCTCCTAACTAATCTAAGCCTGCAGAATCATGAACTAAATAATCATTACCATTTTTCCCCTGCTTTTACTAATTATTCCCCCCAGACCTCCTGACTCAAAACATTAAGGTCATCTTTGACTTTTCCCTCTCTTTGATCTCGAGAGCTAACAAGCCAACAAACTGTTACTTCTTTTGCAGATTCTTCTGCTCATTCTTTTCAGAGTCCTCCTAGAAACTTCTCCCTTACTTTTACTCAATAAGGTTTAGTTTTCTCAAGCCCAGACCACTAAGTGTTTCAGTAAATAATCTCCTTTCAATTTAACCAACTTCTCCATGAATCAGTTTTTTTTTTAATTTTTTTTTATTATTCATATGTGCATACAATGCTTGGGTCATTTCTCTCCCCTGCCCCCACCCCCTCCCTTACCACCCACTACACCCCCTCCCTTACCACCCACTCCACCCCCTCCCTCTCCCCTCCACCCCCTCGATACCCAGCAGAAACTATTTTGCCCTTATCTCTAATTTTGTTGAAGACAGAGTATAAGCAATAATAGGAAGGAACAAGGTTTTTGCTAGTTGAGATAAGGATAGCTATACAGGGAGTTGACTCACATTTCCTGTGCATGTGTGTTACCGTCTAGGTTAATTCTTTTTGATCTCACCTTTTCTCTAGTTCCTGGTCCCCTTCTCCTATTGGTCTCAGTTGCTTTTAAGGTATCTGCTTTAGTTTCTCTGCGTTGAGGGCAACAAATGCTAACTAATTTTTTAGGTGCCTTACCTATCCTCGTATCTCCCTTGTGTGCACTCGCTTTTATCTTGTGATCAAAGTTCAATCCCCTTGTTGTGTTTGCCCTTGATCCAATGTCTGCATATGAGGGAGAACATACAATTTTTGATCATTTGGGCCAGGCTAACCTCATTCAGAATGATGTTCTCCAATTCCATCCATTTACCAGCGAATGATAACATTTCATTCTTCTTCATGGATCCATAAAATTCCATTGTGTATAGATACCACATTTTCTTAATCCATTCGTCAGTAGTGGGGTATCTTGGCTGTTTCCATAACTTGGCTATTGTGAATAGTGCCGCAATAAACATGGGTATGCAGGTGCCTCTGGAGTAACCTGTGTCACAGTCTTTTGGGTATATCCCCAAGAGTGGTATTGCTGGATCAAATGGTAGATTTTCAATGTTTAGCTTTTTAAGTAGCCTCCAAATTTTTCTCCAGAGTAGTTGTACTAGTTTATATTCCCACCAACAGTGTAAGAGGGTTCCTTTTTCCCCCACATCCTCGCCAACACCTGTTGTTAGTGGTGTTGCTAATGATGGCTATTCTAACAGGGGTGAGGTGGAATCTTAGTGTGGTTTTAATTTCATGCATCAGTTTTTTAAGCAACAAAAGTAAGAGATCTTTCAGGGTTATTTAACTCACAGTTACAAGCACATACTATGTGCCTAGCTATAGCAGTTATTATCCTGTGCACTAGGTTTTTTAATCACACCACGTTCATCTTTGAAGTCTCCAGTGGCTCTGAGTTATTTGAAGAATTAATTCCAGGACTGGTGGAGTGGTTCTAGTGGTAAGAGTACCTGCCTAGCAAGTGTGAGGCCTTGAGTTCAAACCCCAGTATCACAAAAAAAAAAAAAAAAAAAATTAATTCCTTGACCTGGCACCCAAATCTTTCTATACATGATCCCAATATATCTTGTCTTCCAGCATGATACTAATATTCCACACAGGTTTCCTCTTTTTTCCTTCATACTGCTGAGGCTCTTGACCCTCTCTACCTATGCTGTGATTCTGCCTTCCTAGAATACCTTCCTCATCCTGATCTTACCTGCTCTCTAAGACTGGGCTCCAGTAATTTCTTCCTATTAAAGCTTTCCTAGGCAACTCCAACCCACAGTAATTTCTTTTGCTTTTTGACCACATGCTTTCTATCTACTTCTCTCCTGTTCACTAATAAATATCAACCAACAAACATTTACCTAATACTAAATATAATGCTAATCAACAAACATTTACCTAACATTAAACTTGGGGAAGATACAAATATAAACAGGTTCCTACCTCCAGACAGTTTAGGAATCAATATATACCATACAGAACATGTCTTATGATATCAGTATTATTTTGCAAAGTAATTAAATAATCTCATAAACATATTCAAAACTTATCTCTATATAGATTTCCTATATAATAACTCAATGTACATCTTTATACACCAAAGAATAGCAAGTATACTCATCCTACAGAAGATAATAAATACTGAATTTGATTCTATTCTCTAATTGTCAGACTAACAACTAGATAGTTTGTGAAAATGGAAACATTTGTCAGTTTCTTTAGGTTTTTTTTTTTTTTTTTGCTTGTTTTTGTGTTTTTGAGATAGGGTCTCATTATATAGCCGAGTTCCTGGCCAGGAACTCACTATGTAGCCCAGGATGGCCCCGAATTCTCAAGCCTCCTGCCTCCTCAGCCTTATTCTTTTTTATTTTTGGCAGGACTGAGGTTTGAACTCAGGGCTTCACACTTGCAAAGCAGGTGCTCACTTGAGCCACATCTCTAGTCCTTTTTGATCTATTTATTCTGAAAATAAGGACTTGAAAACTATTTGCCCAGGCTATCCTTGAACTGCAGTCCACCCAATCTCAGCAATCTGTCCAAATCTGTCCAATCCCAAGTAGCTAGGATTGCAGGTATGATCCACTGGTACTCAGCTCTGCCTCAGCCTTCTGAGTACTGAGATTACAAAAGTACTCCACCACAGTTGGCTATCAATTTCTAATAATAAAATAAAGCAGAAGAGTAGAATCAACATAAATTTTCTCACCTGTTCAAGTGCTCGAGGAAGGTCATTCACCCAGTGCAAACTAAAATATAAAAACATGTATTTGCTTTATAATGACATAACTATCCCTTGTATGATAAGCCACAAAAGGTATTAATTTTGAAATCTGAAATTACATATCAAAATTCACTGATTGTTTTCATACGAATTTTAAATAATAAACATTCCTAGGGGGAAACATTTTTCCCTATCATACTACAAAATTCCTCCATGTAAGTATATCATTTTGCTTAAGTAAAAACCCAGATATGATTAGCTGCCTAATTATTCTTCATCACTTAATAAAGTAAAAGTCATTCCTACTTGGCATTTCGTCCAAATAGTATTACTCTGAGTCCTTATTTGAAGTCAGTGCTAGAAAAAAGTATCTGATGACAGGTGCAAAGAAGCTCATCAGGGCTGGAGATGCAGCTCAAGAGTAGAGCACACTTGCCTGGCATGCTCAAGGCCCTGAGTTCAATCTCCAGCATCACAAAAAAAAGAAAAAAGTAAGGCTCATCAATTAAGCCATAGAACTATATATGTATTCTACTTTCCTAGAAAAAAATAAAAATTATCAAATTTAAATTTTTCCCTACACAAACAGTATTAGTTATCAAATGCTTAACTTAATGAGTTTTCAGATAAGTAACATCCCACTTTTTCTTGTTTTTAAGATGTTATATCTTTTAACAATTTTAGGTTCACAGCAAAGTTGAGAAGGTAGCGATTTCCCATATACTTCTACTTTCACTCACACTTGCACAGCCTCCCTATCATCAACATTTCCCATCAGAGTAATATATTTGTTATAACTTATAAACCTACACTGACACATCTTTATCAGTCAACCTCCATAGTTAACTAAGAATTCACTCTTGGACTGGAGGTGTGGCTCAAGCAGTAGAGTGCTTGATTTTCAAGTGTGAAGGCCTGAGTTCAAAACCCCAGTCCCACTTAAAAAAAAAAAAAAAAAAAGAGTTCGCTCTTGGTGGTGCACATTCTACAGGTTTGGACAGATGTATGACATGTATCACCATTATAGTATCATACTGAATATTTCCATTGTCCTAAAAATCCTGTGCTGCACTTATTCATCCCTCCCTCCCCTATAATTCCCATCCTTTTTACTGTGTCTACAATTTTGTCTTTTTCAGAGTGCCATATAGTTAGAATCAAAGAGTATGTAGCCTTTTCAAATTAGTTTCTTTTACTCAGTAATATGTCTTTAAGTTTCTTGCACTTTTTGTGACTTGATGACTTATTAAAATTATCATTTTTAGTGCTCAATAATTCTATTGTCTAGATGGATCCATTTATCCATTCACCTACTGAAGGACAGCTTAGTTGCTTCCAAGTTTTAGCAATTATGAATAAAGCAGCTATAAACATTTGTGTGATGGTTTGTGTGTGGATGTGTTTTTCTCTCTTTCAGTAAATACCAAGGAGTATGGTATGACTGCTGGGTTATAAGGTAAGAATGTTTAGTTTTGTAAGGAACTCACGCACTGTCTTCAGAGTGGCTGTACTACTTTTAGCTCCCACCACCAATGAAAGAGAGCTTCTGTTACTCCTATTCCTGTCAGCATTTGTTATTGCTGGTGTTCTGAATTTTGCTCATTCTAAGAGGTATGTAGTACATCCACATTTCTTAAGGTGATGGGGGAAAAAGAAAAGCAACCAAAAAATCCCAGAAATCTCTGTACTTAAGAACTTAAGAAACTTGAATTTTCTTCTCGTGCTTATCCTCTCTAAGAGGATAAACCTGAACCTGAGAATATGGTTCAACAGCAAGAACTATATTCTCAGGTTCTGTAGAGTAGTCACTCTCCCAACATGGTTAGCAAACTTTCTTGCTGAGTTCCAAGAAAAACCAAATACTTATTTAAAGCCACACTGTGCTAAGTTCACACATATCTTTCATAAAGCTTTCTGACAATTATCAGATACCTTATAAACTAAGGAAGTCCTATTATAAGCTCCATCATACTTATGGGAAAACTGAAAGCAACAGAATTAGTTGTTTACAAGTAGCAACCAGATAAGCAAAAGCTAAAACTCAGGTTCTCACTCTCTGCCCCAGGCTCTTTCCCTTAGTCCAAGATTCTGTTTTTCAGCTGGGTGTGGCAGTCCACACCTGGAATTTCAACACTCAGAAGGTTGAAAGATCTCACATTCAAGGCCAGCCTGGGCCACATAGAAACCCTGTCCCAAAAGCCAAACATAAAAAGACTTCTTTCATGGCTGGGCACCAGTGGCTCATGCCTATACTTCTAGCCACTCAGGAGGCAGAGATCAGGAGGATTGCGGTTCAAAGCCAACACAGGCCCTATCTCGAGAAACCCCTTCACAAAAAAGGGTGGTGGAGTGGCTTGAGGCAGAGGCCGAGTCAAACCTCAGTACTGCCAAAAGAAAAAAACCCAAAAACTAGAATGTTGAGTGCTTTTCTAAGTTTGCTCAGAATGTATAAAAAAGCAGAGAAGAAATTACAAACTCACAAAAGGGTGACCAACTCCCCTAGTTTGCCTGTGGTCAGGGGATTTTTCTAGGATGTAGGATTTTAGTGCTAAAACCAGCAAGGTCCTGGGCATACTGTGATGGTTGATCATCCTAAAAATAGTTATCAAATGGGTTATGTTAAATGTGGAAACCATGAAGAACCTTTGAAAGTAAGGATAAGGTAGGAGAAATAAGATACCACAGAGAATATTTTCTCTATTAGACTCTGAGTATAAGGACAGGATCCCTGTCTGAGTTCATGTTTGTATTCTCCAAAGCATATAGCTCAGTGCTTCATACATTGTCATCTACTCAATAAATATTTACAGTACATATTTATTTAACAGATGTAAAGGGAAATGGTAGAAAACAGAAAGGGAAAAACGTAACGTTGAGGACTACATTCTTGCAGAAGAATAATTAGAGTTGAAGGAAATGCTAGCTTTCCCTTATCTACCAAATGATTTTAGGATAGGGTATATTAACACTTCAATGCTGGAGCCAGGATCCTCTTTCAAACTCTTGTCTTCATCAGTATCAATTCTAGAATACCAAGTTACATGAGGGAGAAAACCTCTTCTATCACAAATGAGCTTTGGCAAGTTATAGAAAGTTGGGGATAAAAAGAAAACAGAGGCACTATAGGGAGCACAGAATCCAAAATTCTTTATGAGAGCAATCTTATAGCTTATCAACTAATATAACTGGTTTGTATCTTTAAAAAGTTATTAAGAATTTACTTCATTATCTATTTTCTACACCAAAAAGTAAGACTTTATGGCATAAATTACCTATTTATAACATATTCTTTAAAAAAAAGTACAAATAGATCACCAACCTTAAACTGCTAACCACCAGGTCAAATGTATTTTCTCGGAAGGGAAGGAATTCTTCATCAGCTAAAACACTGACGGAAGGAATATCTGTTTCTAAGGAATTTTTCTAACGGCAAAAATAAAAAAAAAAATTAGAAATATACATAGCATCGATTACTAACATAATTATTGTTAAAGTTAATGTTATATTCATTTGGCAGTTTCTATCAAAAAAAAACAGTGGCACATAAAAGGTACACAAAAAATCCTTAATGGCACTTAAGATCAGATAGAAGCTGGCTAGCTGTTTGAAAAAAAACAGGATACCCATCTCATACCAAAACAAATCTCAGAAAGCAAGCCACGAAGTACTAGATGAAAATATGGGTAAACACTTTTATACTATTTTATACTAGACTGAAATAACCTAGATAAACATAACTCAAAAGCTAGAAATGAAATAAAAAGATTGACATACTTTATGATAAACTAAAAACTTCTAAATGGCAATAAATGAACCAGGCACTGGTGGCTCATGCCTGTAATCCTAGCTACTCAGGAGGCAGAGATCAGGAGGATTGTGGTTCGAAGCCAGCCCAGGCAAATAGTTTGGGAGACCCTATCTCGAAAAAACCCATCACAAGAAAAGGGCTGGCGGAGTGGCTCCAGCACTGAGTACCTGTCTAACAAGCATGAGGCCCTGAGTTCAAACCTCAGTACCACCAAAAAAAAAGGCAATAAATGATATAAACTGGGGGAAATATTCACAAGATGCATGATAAAGGATTAATATCTTCCCTAAAAACAAAATTTTTACAAACAACCTAGACTAAGAACACATGAAGGTGAAAGTCAATGAAGGACAAGGTATAGACATGTCACAAAACTTTTTACAAAACTCTTGAATTAAGAAATAACAATGGCCAAAGCTCAATAGCCAAAAGACATAAGTACTGGCCTGACAGTGGCATAAACAAGGAGAAAAAAATCACTTTCAAATAATTCAATTTTTCTAAGGGAAATCTGGAGATGAGTACTGAAGACTTAACATAAATTTTACTACAAGGAATTTATTCCCAGCTAGAAAAATAAATTAACAATACACAGTGGCTTCACAAAGGAATGTTCATCGTGGTGTTGATTGAGAAACTAGAATTATAACCACCTCTCAATAGAAATTCAGCTAACTAAACCATGGAATATTCATATATTGGAATACCATGTGGCCATTTGAAAAGATGGCACATACACACACACACACACACACACAGTATTGGCTGACAGAAAATAATGACATTCTATGAAAAACAAAATATTAGCATAATACTGCTCATAAAAAAACTGAAGAATATGGGTCATTATTTATCTGCAAAGATGGAGACCAAATGTCATCAGTGGTTGCCTCTTACTAGTGGGACTAAGGGTAATTTTTTCTTTTCCCTTTGTATTTCCTATACTGTTTAATTATTCTTCATCTATATCACATTTATAATCAGGGAAAAAATAAAGCTATCTTCATTTTGAAGGAAATAAAAAAATCAAACCAACAGACAAGAAACCAATAGTGTTTTAAAAAGCTACCTACCAAAGCATTTTCTGCAATGTCTGTTTGGAAAAACTTTCCAACAGTTTCCTACAATAGAATAATTAAAATTGGTCAGGTGATACAAAAAAAACATATATAATAATTGTTGAAATTTCTAAAGGACAAAATTTTAATCATAGATTAATTTTCAGCTTTGTAACGGTATTTTTCTGCCTAATACCAGTATGGTTCATAAATACATTTAAGAACAGATGCTAAATTACACAGACACAACTAACTCTAATGCATTTAACTTTAATAAAATAGAGAACACAGGTGTGAATACCAATATCTTTACTCCACTGGGTCTGGGCTTTTATGCTAACTTTTCCATGGCTTAATCTGCTGAGAGCTAGTTTCCACACTCTTGTCCCATATAGGACCTGGAAGGGGTTTCCTGCTGTCAGTTGTTCAAATAGTTTATAAAGAGTGAAGAAAGACTACACACAGAAACGCATGGGATTAAGGGGGAATCCCTTCAGAGAGGATAGGAGTTCCACCTGTCCTCTCTTCCTTCCAAGAGGAAAGGACCCTGCTATTTCTGTCCTACACGAACACCTTCACTCAGCTCTTTTCTCCAGGATCCTGCTCCTTCTACCTCTACCAAACTTTATCTCTTCCTTCTGGTCTCTTTCCCTCACCTTACAATAGGCATAGGATTCCCAATCTTGAAAACATTCTTACTTCTCAGCACCTCTTCATATAATCTTCTTTATATATAATGTTATATATTGTAAATACATCATTTAGAGAATTTTTTGGTTTATAATCCAGGATTCTACTTACTGTGGTCTTTCTAAAACCTTTCTAAGACACTTTCTAACTTACTAGCACCTTTATTGGTTCCTCCTCATTCTCCCACTCCTCACTAAATACAGTTATGGATGGTTCTTTTCTATATTTTTCTGTATTTTCTGTATATTTGCCCCAGAGATCTTACCTATTTCTGTGGCTTCAGCACTCACTTCTGACACAGAGTTCCAAATAAGAGCTTCTTTTGGTGCCAATATCCCTCCCATAGTCATGGTTAACATTCCTAAAAACTGCCAGAACTTTCTGATAATGTGTAGCAAGCACCAACCTCACAAAATGACAGTACAAGAAGGGCATGGATTCTCTCTATGCCCAAGGAGAACGGTGTTATGATAGGAAACAGAATGGCTACGGCAGGCAGACTAAGCCATTTTTCGGAGAAAACCTGAAACTACAAACAAAATTGTGCTGAGGCATGAGTGTGCTGAGCCCAGTTGGAGATCTCAGAGAATGCTGGCTACTAAGAGATGGAAGCATTTTGAACTGGGAGAAGGTAAGAGGAGAAAGGGGCAAGTGATCCAGTTGTAAGCTCCACCTTTTGTTTTCTTATAAAGAAAATAAAATCATGATCAGCAGGCTGAGATCAGGAGGATCAGGATTGAAACCAGCCTTGGGCAAATAACTGTGAGACCCTAACTGGAAAATACCCAACACAAAAAGGCTGGCAAAGTAGAGAGCCTGCCTAGCAAGTGTAATGCCAAATTCAAACCCCAATACAACCAAAAAAAGAAAATCATGAGGTCAATTTAAAACAAAAACATAAGAACCACAGCCTCTTCTCTGCCAGACTTACCTTGTCTCAAACCTTTTGAGATAGGTATTACTGTTCACATTTTACAGAACCTGAGGCCTAAAGTGACTGGGTAAATGATCCAAGAGTACACAAGCAGCAAGAGGCAGAGCTGATTTTGAACCCTGACTTACTTCAAAACAATGCTCTTAATCACAACAAACCAATTCCAGTTCCTCATTTCCATCTACCTATCAGATATCAACACTAATAGATACCTTTGCCTCTTAAACACAACATATCTAAAATGGGAATCATCCCTTGTTCTTTGCCCCACTACATCCTGATTTTTCCCAGTCACATAAGTTATTATAACTTTAAAGTGATTTTCCAGTTATTTCACACAATCATTTAATAAATCACTATGTGTTCTAGGTACTAGGAATTTAGTAATGAACATAAATGAGCAAGTCCACTAAAAGAAAACAGATTATCAAATAAACATATATCAGGGGGCTAATAAGTGCTATGGAACCAAATAAAGCAAGTAGCCAGTAGAGAGCAGGGGCACATTTTAGCAAGTAGACAGGGAAGGGATATATCTGGTGAGAGGTCATTTGAACAAAGACCTCACAGAAATATGAAAGCAACACAGATGTCTTGGGAAAGAACATATGGATGCAAAGCTCTGGCTTATGGCTTGTTTGAGAGACAGCAAGGAGGCTATGGTTTCTGAAAAGTAGGGAGTGAAAAGGAGGTAAGGCCATGATGAAGAGCCAGACCACTCTGGGTTTCATGGATTAGGATTCTAGATTATGACTAAATTAGGTGAAAAGCCAACAGTTCTGAATAGAGAACTAAGAATGATCCGACTTACATTTTAAAAGGATCACATTCCTGTAATAAGGAAAGGAAACCAATAAAGAAGCATCTACAATTCAGGCAAGGGGTGATGGTAATTAGGACCAATATGGTAATAGTGAAGGTGGTAAGAATAGAGCTACAGATATATTTTGAAATCCAAATCAGATTTGCTGACCCAGTAAGTCATCAAATTCTGTTAGTTCTACTAGGTCTTTCTCATATATTCCATCTTATATCTGCTGCCTCCAAAGGGATGAGAGGCCTTATCTCTCACGAATGTACTACCTTTAAAGTAACTGCCTTCTAATTGGTCAGTTTGTCTATTCTCTCCTTTTTTTTTTTTTTTTTGGTGGTATTGGGGTTTGAACTCAAGGCTTGCTAGACAAGCACTCTACCACTTAAGCCACTCCACCAGTCATTTTTTTTGTGTTGGATATTTTCAAGATAGGGTCTCATGGACTCTTTGCCTGAGCTGCCTTTGTACCTCAATCCTCCCGATCTCTGCCTCCTGAGTATAGATTATAGGTGGGAGCCACCAGTGCCCAGCTTATCCTCTCCCTATTTAAATCCTTCTTGTATGCCAGCTACACTTTCATCTTCATTAAAAATCACTTTATCATATTTCTTAACATTTTATCTTTCCTTCTGCTGTGCTATGACTTCCAATGCTATGAACATGAACCATTAATCCAAGTCCTTTAAAATCCCAGGTCAGACCCATGCCTCTGAGAAGTGTAGACCACATTAACTCCTACTTTCCCTCAACTCCTATTATACCTTAATGCTATACCATTTCTATGGCATTTACTACTATTAATAATATTGTTTTAGAAGCCTTACAACCTCCCCTCCCACACCACCCTGGACCAAGTGTATGTTTTTTTCTTTAGCAGCACTGGGGTTTTCACTCAAGACCTCACACTTGCTAGGTAGGCACTCTTACCGCTTGAGTCACTCCACTAGCCCCAAGCATATGTTTTTTGTTTTGGTTGTGACTGAGGTTTGAACTCAAGGCTTCATGCTTGCAAAGCAGGAAGTTGACTGCTTGAGTCACACCTCCAGCCCATTTTGTTCAGGTTATTTTGGAGATGAAGTCTCACTAACTATTTACCCAGGTTGGCCTTGAATTTCAATCCTCCTGATCTCAGTCTCTCAAGTAGCCAGGATTACAGGCATGAGCCATCAGCACCTGGCCCAAGTGTATGTTTTTATCTAAATATATCTTATATACACTCTACCAATGAGCACTTGATTTTTATTGTGCATTATCAAAAATGTTCAAATAAAGTGAAATACATAGGGTTAAAGATATTATCTATTAGTAGGAATATTAGATAAAATGAATTAGAAATTCTGATATAATCAAAATCTAAATATGATTCAACTGAATTTATTAAGAAAGTCTTTCCTTAGTCAATTCTATTTCCAAAGTAAATTAAGTCATTAAATATACCTTATTCAAATGTTGTGCTATGTAGCCTCTTCCAGAACCAATATCCAAAGCAAGGGGAAAATCTCTGAAAAATAGACACAAAAGTTATGCATTGTCTGTAATATAGTCCATAAAATAATTAAGAACTAATTTTTCTTAGGTAAAAATATTTTAGTGAACACAGCTTTCAGAAGTTACATTATCTGTCTTTTCTCCCTTTCCTTACGTGATACATCTAGAGAGCATACTATAGTGCTTCTGTTTGATCCAGTATTCATCCACAGGACCTCATAAAGAACAAGCTTCAGTGCTATGGATGTAGCTCAGCAATAAAACACCTGACTAACATGAGCGAAGCTCCCAGGTTTGATCTCTAGCACTGTAAAAGAAATAAACACTAAAACAAATTCCCTCTCCCCCAGCTTAACTAAGGTGGCTCATGATGTGAATTTGAAACTTATAAAGGGTATTTTAATTCAATAATGTCCAGATAAAGGGTGGAAAAAAGTTTAAATGTAAATTAACGTGAAAAAATTGGCATACATACCAGGGATTTAGCAACTATCCCTATCTCTCAAGTTTGTTGAGGTAGAAGAACACTTAGTAATCACCACGTGACATACTATGAAACAGGATATTCAACTTGGGTTAGGAATGCAATTGCTCAGTGGCAGAGCACTTGCCTATTATGTGCAAGCATGACCAAGGTCCTAGGCTTGATACCCAGTGTGGGTAGGGGGGTAGCTAAAGTTAATAACTGCGACAACAACAAACGCTCTGAAGGCCTGGTCTGGTGGCTCACACCTGTAATCCCAACTGTTTGGGAGTCAGAGATAGAAAAGATCCAGGTTGGAAGCTAGCCCAGGAAAAAAAGTTAGCAAGATTTCATCTCAATAAAGAAGCTGAGTGTGCTGGTACAGGCCTGTCAATCCAGCTACATGAGAGGCTGTACATAGGAAGACTGTAGTCTGTAGTCTCAGTTCAGCCCTATACAAAAAAGGACCTCCCCGAAAAATAAGAGGGAAAAAAAAAAAAAAAGTGCTGGCAGAATAACTCCAATGGTAGAGCTCCTGCCTAGCAAGTGTGAGGCCCTGAGTTCAAACCCCCAGAACTGCCAAAACAAAAAAATAAATAAACTGTATAAGTAAACTTTACTAAAAACTTATCAAGTTCAAAGTATTAAAAGTTGTAAGTGTCCAGTGCTAACTAAGCCAACTCAAGCATCAAATACCTCAACAAATAAGCAGCAAACGACAGTATGAATTCAGTTTATGAATCCTGAACCAGAGCAATTGTCTTCCATGTTATGTTGTCTCCTCTAAATACATCATGTCATACTAAATCAGAATAGACATCTAATTGAAGGCCAAAGGTTTAAGGTCACTTATGACAGAAAAGTTGAGGTTTTTTTTCCCTGAAAAATCAGAACAAAAGGAGCTGCTGTTCAATTTTTCTTAAAAATGCATGTCAAAATTACAGAACACCAGTACATAGTTGGAGAACCCATGGCAATGGCTTTTTAAAGATAAATAAATAAACCTAAAGACTGTATCTTGATTATGAATATAGACCATAAGATATGGTTAAATATATAGGTTTTGGATTTAAACAGAAGTTCAAATTTGGGGCCTGTAATTTACTTGTCCTGTGACCACAGACAAGATTTAATCTTGCTGAATCTCAGTTTCTTCATCTATAAAAGGGAAAAGGCACTGCCTTTCTCAGAGTTGGTGTGAGAATCACATGAAATAGTACATGTACCGTATTTAGCACAGTGTAATGCTTAACAAAAATTAGTTATTATTACCAATGATTATAACATTAGCTGGGCCTCAAATCCCCAAATAAGACATTTAACAATCTGTGGGGTTAGTTTTTAAAATCAACAAAAGATAGGTGTTGGTAATATAAACTCTTCTTTATTTGTTTCTCTTTAAAATACTGGGGTGGAACCTGGGGCCTCAAGCATGCTAGGCAAGCACTTTACAGCTGACAGATCACATTCCCAGGGCTATAAACTACTCTAATAATAGAATATTAATGCAAGGATATTTAGACTAGTATTTTTAAGAATTTAATTCCAAATATCTAATGCTTAAAACATGCTTTTAGCCACAACCATAAGTCTCTTCATGGATTTGACTTCATTTTGCTCAGTGCTATGGCATAAAAATATTTATAAAATCTAAACTGACTTGCAAAATTTAATTTTTCTTTAATTAAATCACAAATATCTACAAATCCATGAAAATGATTATAGTAGCTTTTTGGGAGGGGGTGTGTGAAGTAATGGAATTAGTAAAACAAATGAAATAAGGGACCTTTTTTAATTTTATAAAATTAATTCATTCCAAGATTCATTTATACTGAAAAGATTTATCTAAAATACAGTGGAAGGAATCTGATTTTACAAAATTCCTTTTTTTTTTCAGGCAAATGTAATGAATTCATCTCATCTTGGTCTAATTTAATGGATATATTTTAAGCAAAAGAGCATCATAGAGAATACATAGAATTACATCATAGAGTAATTCTACTACAGAAACCATTATTTGACTGCAATTTTACTACATAGCTGGAAATTTGAATCTATAAAGCCTTCATTATGCCTAATAACAGATCCATCAAGATTTCAATAATACTTGATAAAAGTGTTCTTTTCCCAAGTCACCCTCTAGAGAATTGTCATAAAACCCTATTACCCTTAACAATGGTTAAGATAAAATGCCAGAGTCTCATCTATCCTGACTGGGAAACAAATCTATGTAGACTTTCTCCTTCACTTAAATGGTAAGATTCTATTGTGAACTTTAGTTAAGCTTTTAAACCTAGGTTTAGTAAATCTTAAAAATTCATAGGTAAAGGGCTGAGCATGGTGGTGCACCTCTGTAATCCCAGCTACTCTGGAAGTCATAGTTCAAGCCCAGCATGGGAAAAGCTAGTGAGAACCTAACTCAAAAACAAGATGGGCATGGTGGTACACACCTGTGGTTCAGCTACTAGCGATATGGAGGTAGAAAGATCATGGATCCAGGCCAGCCTGAACAAAATCAGCTAATCTAAAAAACAGGCTCACACCTGTAATCCCAGCTACTTGGGAGGTAGAGATAGGAGCACTGCAGACGGAGACTGGTGTGGGGCGGGGTGGGGGGGGGGAAGCAGGCGATCTGAAAAATGGAAAACAAACAAACAAAAAACACGTAAACAAAAATGCTAAAAGGAAAAATGACCAGGGACGCAGCTGAAGTGACAGTGAATTTGAGCATGAGTCCCTGAGTTCAAACCCCGGTACTGAAATAAATAAATAAATAAATAAAAACTGGCTTTTGGCTTTGGCCAAATCAAGTAGACCTGTCATTCAGGCTTGGAGAGAGCTATGAGTCATGCTTTCATACTTTCGTTTTTTGGGAAGTTTTCTGGTGGTACGAGGGTTTGAACTCAGGACTTCATGCTTGCTAGGCAGGTGTTCTACCTCTTGAGCCACTTCACCGCTCTTTTTTGTGTTGGGTATTTTCGAGATAGGGTCTCTTGAACTATGCCTGGGCTGGCTCCTGATCTCTGCCTCCTGAGTAGCTAGGATTATAAGCGTAAACCACTGGCATCCAGTTCATACATTTGTTTTTTGTTGTCATTTTTAAAGACAACATAACAATGAAGACATTTGCTCTAGTAGACAAGAAAATGGAGAGACCTAAAAAGTGATTCAAATCACTAATCCTGGCAATAAATTTCCCCAGATCTATCATTCCAGATATCAAGCTCCAACATTTAATCTCAAGTCTCTACTCAAAAGTTCATTAGCCAGGTGTTCTGAAGCACACTAGTCCCAGGTGTTCAGGAGGCTAAGGCAGGAAGATTACTAGTGCTCAGGAGTTCCAGGTTACCCTGGACTATACAACAAGACTCTGTCTCAGGAAAGTTGATTGTATTTCATTGTGATACCTGGCTATGTCATATACACGGTCTGCAATCCGACTTCCAACCTGAAAGATTACAAACGGTAATAGTATTAGTGAATTGAAAACAAGTAACACTCTTTTCCCAGATTTCAACAATCCTTAGGCTACTTAAGTTTCAACATAAGTACTTCCTTATATCCCATTTTTCTATTTTACCAAAGCAATTATCTTTCCAAATGCTGAATAGAACATAATAAAATATCCCAGAAAACAAATTGAGGCAAGTCAATTGAATGAAATCAAGACTGAACAATAATAAAAATCTTAAAGTATATGCAAATGCCTACACATACACATTTGGCCTTTATAATCCCTGTGATACAAGACCATAAGAATGAAAAAGTAACAGGAACACAATAGATACATTATTCAACATATTAGCATGAGATACGTTAAAGTAAAAAAGCTTTAAGTTAGTTAAGATTTATTACAAATCAATACAAAAAGTGGTCACTGAAACACAAAATTCTCCTGCCTCAGCCTCCTTAGTGCTGTGTTAACAGGCATGTGCCACTATACCTGGCATGAGTTAACAGCTTTTGGTGGGAGAAGTGGATACTGGGGTTTGAACTCAGGGCCTCACACTTGTTAAGCGGGATCTCTACCATTTGAGCCACTCCATCAGTCCTTATGTGTGTGTTGAGTATTTTTGAGATAGTCTTGCTTTTCGCAGGGGCTGACCTTGAACTTCGATCTTCTTAATTTCTGCCTCTTGAGTAGTGAGGATTATAGGCATGAGCCATCAGGCACCAGGGTAACAGATTTTTTGAGGAACATTTCTAAAGTTAAAAGCCAAGTCTGAAGAAAATGCATCACCCCTCAAATTCTATGCCATTTTAAAAGGAGTTATAAGACAAGCACCACCTTTTGCTGAGCTAGCTTCATCTGGCATTAATAAAGATACGGGAATCTAAATTTCCCACATTCTACCCATTACCTCATAAACACCCCAGAGTTGCTATGAAGAACCTGAAATTCCAGGACATAGTTCTATTTGCTTTTGTAGGAAAGAGGGGGCAAGGAAGGAGGCAGAGCAGAAGTCTTTTTCCCAGAGGAATCCACTTTGTAATCATTACTAATATCAGTACCTTTTGTTTATTATACAAAATCTCTCATATAGGTTTATCTCGTTTATTCTAATTCTGCACATTGGCAAGGCTTCAATCAAGTTGTAATCCAAGCACTTTTCTTACAAGGAAGAGATATTAAGAATGCATATCTTCTAAGTACATGCCCTCATGAACTCTTTGGAAGGAAACTAGCAACTGGTAGGATCGGTGTGGTGTGTGCACTGTGCCTTACAGACAAGAAACAGAAACTTTATTGACAGTTGACTTTCAATCTCTGTCAAATACTTTTATCAACCTCTTAGCAGCTGTTACATCTAAGGTTTCCTAAGAACTGACATAGAATCGTCTGACCCAGGACAGTGCTTGTGCAGAGCTCTGCTCAAAGTAGCAGTCAATAAATGCTTGCTGCATTAGCTTGAAAAAGCTTATTCTACTTGACTCCAGTTTTGCTCCACCGCTAGAGAATTACCTGAGACTTGAGTTCAGTGCTATGTGTTCTAAAAGTAGAACTATCAATCCAAAGTCCACCTAGGCAAACTGGCACAGACAAATCAAGAGAGCTTAATTTTCCTAAAACATAAATAAGATCATATCACTCCATTACTTAACACCAAAGGTCTCATATTTCTTTAGGGTAGTCCTGTCCAAAAACAGTGAGCACCATATGAATAATATAAAATTTCCTAAACAACATTTTTAAATAAAAAGAAACTAATGGAATGAGAGAAATTAATGTATTTATTTGCCAAATATATAAAAAATATTTCAACATAACCAATACAGGAACTAGTGATGAACAATTTTACGTGTTTTTTCCATAGTAATTCGCTGAAATCCGGTGTGTATTTTACATTTACAACACATCTAAATTGGACTAAGCACATTTCAAAGGTTCAACAGCCATAAGGCCGGCAGTTGCCACACTGCATGGAACACAAGTAGAGAAGAAAGTCCAGTCATGGCTTATCCCGTAAGGTCCTAATAACCTGAGTCCTCCTGATCTTTCCCACTCTCTCCTTACAGGAGGATCACTGAAGGTCCCAAAAGGTCCTTTGGCCTCTGGAGCCTTCCCTTATCCTAGGAGGTTCATCCCATTCCCCCCAATCCCAGACGGGCTAAATTTCTCGCCATGTCCTCTGCCTAAGCATCGCAGTCACGATCCCACTTCACTTTATTTCCCTCTCCTTACTTCTTTACCTGATATTACATTTCTTGTCTATGCCTTACTCCCCACTAAACGAAATCCTGTAAGGACTGGAGTCTTGCTTTGCCCTGGCCGTAGTATACCGTATTTGCTAAGCGAATGAATGAATGAATGAAAAAGCAAGTTGCAAATATCCAAGCCTAGACTTTCTGTGTTAGCTGCAGGGGCCCAGAGAGGCAAGACTGCTGCTCAAGGTCACACAAACAGTATTGTCAGTCAAGCCCAGCAAGAGCTGCTGTCCCGCCTTCTCACCTCCTCCTTCAGATAGTCAAACTTCATCGGCTCAGGCTGCCGAGCCGCCCAGTTCTTCTGTTTCCTCTTCAAATCACGGTCGAAGATATTTAAGGCTCGGGGCAAGGTGCTGCCAGGAGGAGGGGCAACAGAAGCAACCTTCCTGCAGCCAGCGCTCCCTGACGTCCCAGGCCGCCACCAAAGGCGCCAGAGTCCCACCGGCCTCATCATCTCCAGCCGCGACACCGCTAACGCGTGCTTTTTGTTGTGCGCATGCGCCGACGCGAATACGGCGAGTGCTACGCGACAAAGTTATTCGCGGAAGCGAAAAGTAGAAGTAGTTTGGCCTAGTTCGCGTGCCGTTACGGAGTGTCGCGCGGAGGATTGTGGGTGCGGGTCCATGTGAAGCTCCGAGGGGGATCTGAAAAGGTGAGGAGTGTGGTTAAGAAGGGCTCTAAAGGTCTCCTTCAGGCTTGTGAGGGGTGCGCTGCTTTTTCCTTCCCTTTTTGGCCCTATTGTTCAGACTTCCTCAGTGCTTGTCAGGGTCGCTTCTTGAAAGATTTCAACCGCATAACTTACCCCTAAGGACTGGGAAGTGGGAAGGAAAGCCTCTCAGTTATCCTACCTTTATAGAGTGCTTTCGTTTTAAACGCTTGCATGCATTACCTCTACTAGTTGAATGAGGCAGTGTCTGTGTCATTAAGACTGTTCAGAGGATTAAGTGCTTGTAATAGATCTAAAACTTATAAATGCATCAGTGAAACAGTTGAGTTTTTCTGGTTAATGTACAGGTTTTTGGTTTTTTTTTTTTTTCAAATTTAAGAAAAATAAAGAGTTTCAGAGTCAGTCCTGAGACAGGCAGGAGAATCACGAATTCGAGACCAGCTTGACCTGCATAAGGAGAATAAAATAAAATAATTCAACACTTCCCTGTTTAATTAGTTCATTTTTGCTTCATTTAGCAAGCAGTAACTTTTGAGTTTCCAAATCAAGCTGAAGTCAAACCCACACAGACTAATTTATAAGGGAATTATACTGAATAGTCCTCACATGTATGTTTTAATACGTTTTTGGAAGATCAGGTCATTTAAGTCTTAGTCACTCCTAGAATAAGAAATTATAGGTAAAAAAGTGATATTAGTCACCTACAGTGAGATTTTAATCCGGTTCTTGACTGATGGTAGGATTTAAATAAGGAACTTTTTGAGCTAAGCCTGATTTGATTTTGGTCTCTTTAAGAAATTAACTTTGTAGAACTAAAGGCAGTAGCAAAAAGTAAAGATTAACAGAGAGAATGGCACCACCACATGACATCAACTGAAGTTTGGGAATCTTTTTTTGGTTCTTTGAGAACAGGATCCAGTTATGTAGCCCCAGGCTGGCCTCAAACTTTTATGTAACCAATGCTGACCTGGACCTCACAATCTTACCTCTGCCTTCTGAATGCAGGGGCACTTGTGTGGGTCTGTATGCCCTAGTGGTAATCCTTTAATTGTGTTAGCTTTTAACTTGTAGCACATATAGCTAGAAATACAGAAATTCCAAGTGAGTGCAGTGGTCTTCTGAACATGTGGCCTCCATAAAACCCTGGGGTGCTTCTTTGTTTCCTTTTTTTTTATTTCTCTAGATGATCTGTAAAGGAAAGAACATATTTTGCTGTTCTTTTTGCTTTTCTGCATTTGACCCAGAATAAGTTGGGGAGATGAATTTAGATTTAAGTTACCTTTATGTACATTTAACTTAGAATGTATGGTGAATTAATGTGTTTTCTAAAACACTATTATTAATCTTTAATTATTTTAACACTTATTTTCTAGTATTTGCTTTCTTTGACTATTTCTTCAATAAAACTTTAAAGATGTCATCCAAACAAGAAATAATGAGTGACCAGCGATTTAGACGAGTTTCAAAGGACCCCAGATTTTGGGAAATTCCGGAAAAGGATCGAAAAGTCAAAATTGACAAGAGATTTCGAGCCATGTTTCATGACAAAAAGTTCAAATTGAGTTATGCTGTTGATAAAAGAGGGCGCCCTATCAACCACAGCACTACAGAGGACTTGAAACGTTTCTATGAACTTTCAGATTCTGATTCTGATCTTTCTGATGAAGATGACACAGTGCTGGACCAGAATAAAACCCAGACCAAAAATGAAAAAAACTCAAAAAATATGATAGAAGGGAAAAAGAAAGAAACCAAGAAAATTGATCAAAAAGATTCTGGACATAAAAATGATTTAGATAATTCTAAAAAAACTCAGAACAAGAAAAACTTATGTAAATCTAAGAAGATAGATTCTGAAAAAAGTCCCAAGAAGGATAGTGAAGAATGTACACAAAAAAGTGCAAAAGAGAAAAGAAATATCATTGAACAAAGTATAGATTATTTTTCCAAAGGAAAAATAAGGACAGTAGACTCAGGTACTTCCGAAGCTGTGAAATCTCCCAAGACCAACTATTCTAAGACAAAAAGAGAAAAGCAATCAGGTTGGTTGGAAATAATTAGTGATTCTTTGGTATTACAGTATTATTTTTATATTCACTTTTTTTAATTAAACATATTAATAATTATTTTCACTGCATGTCCAGAATTGGTCAAATGCTATTTAGAAATATAAAACTATGAAAACATACCATGATTATTTTTTATTTGGTGCTAGAAGACATGAGTTGAATCTCAATGATTATTAATTTGTGGGCATTAGTGAGAACTATATTCTTTAACCAGGGAAAGTGTTATATGTTGTTATCACATGATAAGAAGAGATGTGTCTGAAGAAGGTAAGTAGAGCTGGGTACTCATTCATTATTCATTCAGCTACTTACTTAGTGACTAGTATGTACTAGACGAAATATGACTAAGGCATTGTTCCCCAGCTCAGAACTATTGCAGCTTATAGTATGCCTTTGTGCAAATTAGAAAGTGGTATGACCTCCCATCACGTGGAGCTGTCTGGGATTCACAGTTTGCTGAGACACTTTACAGTAAAACAACAAATTGTTTTCCCTTGAGCAGACACAGCACTCTCTGAAGGATGCAAGTCTCGATGAGTGAAAACTGCTTAGATTTCAACCCTTCCTGCCCCTTTGTATATACCTTGTACATATTACAGCCTGCTAAACTCTGTGCAGTGGCCCTGGTCTAAAGTAGCACTGTCCAATAGAAATGGGTAATTTTGAATTTTCTAGTAGCCACATTATAAAGTAAGAAGCAGGTGAAATTAATTTGTGTATTTGTTTAACCCAGTATATCCAAATTTTATTTCAATATAGTCAATATTTTTAAATTATTAACATTTTACATCCCATTTTTGTTTTAATCTCAAGTTGGATGAGTCCTGTTTAAAGTGCTACATTGTCACTTAGTGCTAGGTATAGTATTGGACAGCATGGATCTAAAGTGGAAGAAAGAACCATAATACAAAGTAGAGTAACAATAAGTGCCATAAAATTTTTAACAGAGCATTAAGGAATTTCAGAAGAGGGTCACTAAAGATGTAATCAGAAAAATTTTTAGGGGATGGAGTATTTTGATTGGGGTGTGGAAAAAAATTAAGTTTGAGAACCAGGCTGTTCTACATGCAAAGAACTTTTTGAGCAAAGTTGTGATTGGGCATTTCAGAAGAGATCAGTGGTCCCATTTGACTAAATGATAAGGTCTTGAGGAGGTGAGTGAGTAATAGAGATAGAAATGACTGTTTGGAAGTAGGTCAGAAACACCTGGCTCTTGTTTGGATTTACATAACTAAGTTTATTAAAATTTTGTGTTACCTCTGGCAGCAGGAAATGTTAAGTGTTGATGTTGCTTATAGTTGATGGTGTAATTGCAAATTGGTAGTTCAGGTGAGTCAGACAGAAGCTGGTTGTGATTATAGGACCCAATAAGATAGTCAGTAGGAAAAGGCAGAGAGAGGTCTTAACAGACAGAGATCCCATTGGGACAGTAGAAAGGACAGCAGTATATAGAAATCTAAATAACAGAGAATAAGGGGTCTGGATCAGCTCCCGTGACATTTGTAATGGGAACAGACAACAAACCTCATGAGATATAGGGAGAAAAGGGATAGGAATTTAGTTACTGAACTTGAAGAATAAGATTGGACTAGGACTAGCAGCAGTGTTAATTTGATGCTGAGTGTGTGAGGGAAGTTAGCCTAGCATCCTTGAAGTTCCATTTGATTTAGGGCACTGGATTGATGTAATATCTGTGTAATCCTTTGAATTGATTTTACAGGATCGTTTTACATTTTCTTATTTAATTTTCTCAATAACTGAGAAATGAAAATACATTAATAAACAGGTTAAAGTGATTTAAAAGTAATATGAGTTGTCATAAAATATTCAGGGCCAGCACTTGCACTCCTAAGAATTTAAGTAAATACTTGGATAAGTACAAAGAATGTGAATTGCAGCATTATTTTTTAAATTAATGATTATTTTTAAAATTAAAAATGGTAACCTAAATAACTAAGGAATTGATTAAATAAGTTACTATAATGCATCTGTGATATATGAAGTTTTAAAAATAGGTTACAAAATAGCAGAAATTATGTGATCAGCTACTTTTTTTAAAAGAACAGGCACTGGTGGCTCATACCTGTAATCTTAGCTACTTGGGAGGCTGAGATCATGGGAGGATCATGGTTCAAGGCCAGCCTGGACAAATAGTTCATGAGACCCCCATATCCAAAAGTAGCCAGAGCAAAATGAACTAAAGGTGTGGCTCAAGCAGTAGAGTGCCTGTTTTGCAAATTCGAAGGCCTAAGTTCAAACCCCAGTCCTACCAAAAAAAAAAAAAAAATTAGTGGTTAAATCATAGAAAACAAATTTAGGTGAGCCTGGACATGGTGCTAATGCCTGTAATCCCAGCTATGTAAGTAAGAGGCTTGAAGTCTACCATGCGAAAAATGCAAGACCCTATCTGAAAAATAAGTAAAGCAAGAAGAGCTGGATGTGTGGCTCAAGTGATAGAGCACCTACCTAGCAAGTGAGAGGCTCTGAGTTCAAACTCTGTATCACTACCTCCAAAAAAAAAAGGCAGGTTGTATTTAAAATACCTGTTATTTCTGACAAATTACTGGTCTTTATTATTTTCATTTTTTTTCAACAGGCATTCATTACACTTATAATTAGGGAGAAAAATGTTTTTTAAGAAGTATGGTGATCAGGCACCAGTGGCTTATGCTTGTAATACCAGGTACTTAGGAGATCAGGAGAATGTCGGTTTGAAGCCAGCCTAGGCAAATAGTTCCTGAGATCCTTTCTAAAATATATAACATAAAACAACTGGCAGAGTGGCTCAAGTGCTAAAGTGCCTTCCTAGCAAGTGTGAGACCCTGAGTTCAAACCCAAGTACTGCCAAATACTTGGTGGTACACACCTAAAATCCAGCTGCTTTGGAGGTAGAGGCAGGAAGATTGGGAGTTTGAGGCCATCCTGGGAAAAGGTTAGTGCAAGGTTCTATCAGAAACAAAACAAGGGCTGGAGGAGTGGCTGAAGTAGTAAAGCACTTGCCTAACAAGCATGAGGCCCTGAATTCAAACCCCAGTGCCACCAAAAAAAAAAGAAAAGAAACAAAACAAAAACCAAAAGGGCAGGGGGCAGGGCTATAGCTCAAATGCTAGAATACTTGCCTAGCATATGCCAAGGCAAGTACTGAATTCAATCCCCAGTACCAGGAGGGAAAAAAAAGGTTTTTGAAAAGGACCTTGATAAGTAGTATCTACAATTACTACTAGAGCAGTACTGTCTAAGAATAGATGCAGTTACTTACTTTTGTAACCCTATTTTATCTAATATAAAGCTTTGTACATTGTGAGCTCTCAGCAGATATTCAATAAATACTCTGAATGTGGTTGATATGGTCAGAAATATTAAAATAATCTTCAAAGTCTCCCTTGCATCAGTGTGTTATACAAGCCAAAGTGTGTGCTACGCATACCATTGTCGTATGTGAGATGTTAAGCAATACTTAAACTTTTTTATATTAATGGTTATTTATTTCAACATCTTAGGAAATAATAATGTCATTTCTCTGACATGAGGAATATTGTTTAGAAGAAAGCTAATCTTTTAATTTGATGAAAAATATCAGTGGTTAGCAGAAATCATAAAACTGGTAATTGATGTTTGAGAAACATTGCAATACTCGATAGAGCTGGTGTACAAGGTGTTATTTCTAAGTTGCTTAAAAGTGAATTCTGCTGCTTATCTCATAGTAACTTTTTTCACTGTTGTGCTTTTATGATCCTTGAGCTTATGATAATGCCTTATTTTGCTTTTTCACATTACTGGCTACTTATTTTTTTATTACTCCTCACTTTGGGGTACTAAGACAAAGCCTATTCCTACTTTCTCTCTTAACAAAATGCCTTTTCATTTAACTAGTCTTAAGTCAAATGATATTTATACAAAATCTTCCTTACTATAAATTCCTCCCTGAAGACAAATTTAAATGTCTCCATGTGCTTTAGAACATAGGTTCATAAGTTAATAAACAATTTCCTTTTGTTTAATAAACCATCAAGGGCATGGGATCATGTTATAAATCATCTCTCTTTTCTCTTTCCCTAACTCAGTGTTTTACACATAGTGGATAATATTTACTCAGTAAATATTTGGTCAATGAATGAGTATTTATGATTATAGGATTAAGAGAAACAAGTTTCATTCTAAGTCTTGTAAATTTGTTTTTATTTAATTTATTTGGCAGTACTGGGATTTGAACTCAGGACCTCATGCTTGCTAGGCAGATGCTCTACCGTTTAGGCATGCCCCTTACCCATTTCTGCTTTTTGGTTATTTATTTATTTGTTATTTTTTGGTGAGACTGGGGTTTGAACTCAGGCCTTCAAGTGTGCAAAGTAGGCCCTCTACCACTTCAGTCCATTTTGCTCTAGCTGTTTTGGAGATTGGGGGGGGGGGGTCTCTTGAAGTATTTGCCGAGGCTGGCTTTGAACTATGATCCTCCCTATTTCAGCCTTCAAGTAGCTAGAATTACAGGTGTGGGCTACTGGCACCTGGTTTTTGGACCATGATCCTCCTATTTGTGCTTCCCTAGGTAACTGGAATGACAGGTGTGCATCACTATGCTTAGGTTTTCATTGATTTAAATGGGATCTCCTTAACTTTGTCCCTGAGCTGGCCTCTAACCGTGATCCTTCCATTCTTTGCTTTCAAAGTAGCTAAGATTACAGGCTTGAGCCATCTTGCCCAGCTAAATTTGCTTTTAATTCTCCAAGCTGAGAACCTGTAAGCAGAAATACAAGCACCAACTTAAACATAAATAAAATGTATATCCACACACTATAAATAGAACCATACAATTGCTTTCAGAAGTAGAGCATGAGCCCTTTCAGAGACAAGTGCTAAAAAAAAGTTCTATTTAAATAAAAACAGTCTTTCCTGGTGTATTGCTAACCCTAGCTAATAATTACAAAAATCAAGTGTTAGCAGAAAAGTTGTTATTTCTCTGTCTTTGTAGGTGATCTCACTCATATCCCAGCTTCTGTTGTCAACTACATATGAATGAGTAATAAATTTTACTTCCAACCCACACTTCTGAGGTGTGTTTTTCATAGCCAACAGCTTTTTTGGTATTTTCTCTCTCTTTTTTTGGTGTTACTAGGATTTGAATTCAGGACTTCACACTTCGTAAGAAGGCACTTTACCACTTGAACCACTATGCCAGCTGATGTTGTCTCAGCTCTGATGATGACTCAGAGGCACTTTGAATTCAGCTTATCCCAAACTGAATTCCTAGCTTCCCTCCACCAAACCAGTCCTTTTCCAGTGTTTCTTATTCATCTATCCATCCATCTAGCTAGCTTGCTAACTAGCTGACTCTGCAAGATAAAGGACTCATCTTGACACTTGTAGTACTTTTGTTGCCCCTAGCAAATACCACTGTTATTGATTACTATTGGTTTTTCCTCTTGGCTCTGAAATCTTTTCAATTCTTTAAATCTATACTGCCACCAAACTAGTGCTCCCTTCATTTCTTGCCTAGAGTTCTGTACTATCCTTTTGATTGCTGCATTCACATTCAATCTTTACTCCTCCAGTTTTTTTTTTTTTTTTTTTTACAGTATAGTTCAGATAGCCTCAATATACAAATATGATGATGTCCTGCTTTTGGAAACATAGTAGTGGTTTCCCATTGCATTTATGAAAAAGTCCATCCCTCTACATAGTTTTTGCATGTCATGACTCCTGTTTAACTCTTCAGATCCATTTGTTTACTTGACTCCTTGCTCTCTGCAATCCAGACTTGATTGTTGGCTTCTAGTTGGCAGATCTTTTCAGATGATTTCCTTTTTGTTTAGAACAAATTTCCCTCTTTTTCTTTTCTCCTTTTATTTTATCAATTTTACATTTACTGACATGTGTATACATCGTTTGTGCCACCTCCCCTGACACACACAAATTTCCCTCTTGTATTCATCTAACTTTGACTACTTTAACTCCTGTTCACTCTTGGTAGCTGCTTGTCATGCACTTGGAAATTCCTACTCTTAGCATGATGTAAGGTTCCTTCTTAGAACCTATCCTAGTTGTAATTTCATTTTTTTGTGTGCATATTGATTTGACTGGTTTTATTTGATTGATATCTGGCATATTAACTTCATTCAACTTGAAGTTGAAATTTTATGTTCTTTGTTTTGTTTTTGTTTGCTTGTTTTGGACAGTACTGGGGGTTGAACTCAGGGCCTCATGCTTGCCAGGCAGGTAGTGTACCACTTGTGCCTCTCCACCAGCCCTTAAATAAAAGTTAACTGAGAGCACTGAATACTTTTCTCTTGCTAACAATGGCATATCGAGCACCTAGCACATAGCAAGTACCCTATAAATATTGAATGAATGCATGAATATACTTGCACAATCTGGGTTCACATTACGGTTTCTCTAAAAATAACTTGGTTAAGCATGAATTTAACTGAATTTATATTTCCTTTCTCTGTTTCATAGAATTTTCACTGGATCTAATGTTAAAAATAATTTGGATTCATTTTAATTGAGTGTGTACATTTCTCCACCTTAACATTTTGTAGTGGTTCCATTCAGAATAGCAAGAGACAGTGATGGTAAAATGTTTGACAAAAATGCTCTGGAGGAAGATTCAGACAGTGTTAATGAAACAGAAACTGATGAGGAATCTGGAGATGAAATCATAAATGTTGATAAAGCTTCAGCTGATGATGATGAAAATGAAGATGATGAAGAGGAAGATGGAGATAGCGAAGATGATGATGAAAGTGACAGCGGCCCTGATCTTGCAAGAGGTAAAGGAAATATAGAAACAAGTTCTGAAGATGAAGATGATTTGGCAGATTTATTTCCAGAAGAACCTGGCTTTGAGCATGCTTGGAGAGAATTAGATAAAGATGCTCCTCGGGCTGATGAGGTACAGTTTTGAATGAGGTTGCTTGTAACATAGTACAATTTACTTTTATGGGTGGTCTGATTGGTGTCATTAATTTAGTGTCACTTAATTTAGTGAGAAGGGGCTGGAGTTGTAATTCAGTGGTTGAATGCTTGCCTGGCATGTGCAAGACCCTACACCACAAAACTTATAAATAATAAAATAATAAAATAATAAAATAAAATGGAGTAAAAAGTACTTGGGGGGGCGGTGTGGGGAGTTGTTTTCTTTTGCTGTCACTGAGCCATGTACTGAGCCTCTGGTAATACTATTCTGTAAGAGTCTGATTAAAACTTATTGATATAGAATATGTTTGTCTGTTGAAGCAAATAAGAGAAGTTCTACACAAGTAATTAAAAAGTCATGTGAAATTTTTAGAAAATACTTGTTCTAGTCAGTAGTTCATATTTGTTTCTACTGAACCTTGGGAAGTAGTAGAGGTAAGCATAACTTTCCAACCAAGCATGGTGGCAGACAAGCTTAACAAATGCAGTAGGTAAAAAATCAGCTCATGGTCATGTTCTGAATCAAGAACCAAGCAAGAGAAAGTGCTTATCTTACAGTTTTGTTATTGTTTTACTCATTCGAAGTTCTCTTTTATATGTGAAAATCTCTTAGAAAACTACTATACTGAGAATTTCCAAACTTGGTTCCCCAACTATATTTTTTTTTATATTTTATTTTATTGTTGTGCTGGGTACATTGTGGCATTTACAAAGATTGTTACAAATATCAAATATATCATACTTGAATTCATCTTCTCCACCATTCTCCTTTATCCCCCACTCCTCCCCATTTGAGAAATAGTTTCAACAGATATCTTTTTTCTGTTTACTTTCATCTATACACAGTATTTGCACCATATTCACCCTCCTTTACCATTTCCCCACCTCCTTCCCCTTCCGGCTGGTATCAAACCCCCCAGACAGGACCTATTCCGTTCTCCTGTTCTCCAATTTTGCAAAAGAAAGAAAAAAGAAATGAAATTTTTGCTTTTTTTAATCCTTATTTTTGAAACATTGAAAATGATGTAGATGTATAATGTTTAATCCTATTCCTTTCTCAGATTACACATCGATTGGCAGTTTGCAACATGGACTGGGATAGACTAAAAGCAAAAGATTTACTGGCTCTGTTCAATTCATTTAAGCCCAAAGGAGGCGTTGTATTTTCTGTAAAGGTGAGGATTGAGTTCATTTTGAAGTAAATATTTCTAGGCATTCTAAGTTTATTCTTACTTTTTTTTTTAATGACTTAAGAAACTTTGATTGGCTTTCCTTTTGAAGAAATAATCTCGAAATTGTTCAGTACAAGTGAGCATGAAGCTGGTGTAATGTATAAGTATTAGACAAGAAGTAAAATTATTAAAGGGTTATATGATTGTGTATACTTTCAAACTCCAAAGAAAGTCAGGTGTGGTAGCACATGCCTGTAGTCTCAGCACTGGGAAGGCTGAGGTACAAGGATCACAAGTTTGAGGACAGCCTGAGCTACAAAGCAAAACTCTGTCTCAAACAAACAAACAAAAAAACCAAAATGCAAAATGCCTAAAAGGGCAAGGTGTAAGATAAATATTAAGGGGCATCAACCAATTAAAAAATATTCCTGATTACATTAGCAACAAAACACATGAAGTCCTTGGGAATTATCTTAAAATACACATAGGACCTATATGAAGTAAACCTATAATCCTTGCAAGTTTGAACAACTTGTATAAATTTTGAGACACCATATTTCAAGCCTGCATAATGATTAAGAATCCAGGCTTTGCGTTATGATATGGGCATATGTTTGAATGTTGAGTCTCATGAGTGCTATGTGATCTTGGGTATTTATTTAATGTCACACATGTGTTTTTCATGTGACAAATGCATATAACAATAGTATTTTCTATAATGGTTGTGAGGATTACATGAAAAACACTTAAATACACCTCCTGAAACAGCTCTGTTATTATTATTCTATTTAAATATTTTAAAACTTCAGTTCTATAGTTCATTTATAGTTGCTAACAAAATTCCCAGTTCAAGTGAAAGTTAAGAGAAAGTATACTGGTATTATCTAAAAGAATAAACAAGATTAACTAATAAATTCTTGAGAAATCATGCCTATATTGGGCTGGAGGTGTGGCTGAAATGGTAAAGCATCTGCCTAGCAAATGTGAGGCCCCAAATTCAGACTCCAGTACTGCCGAGACAGAGAGAGAGAAGCTGATATTGGGAGGATTAAGAGATAAAGAGTTCACCAGACACCAGCTCCAAAAAACTGGACTGGAGGTGTGCCTCAAGCAGAAGAGCACGTGCTTTGTAAGTGTGAAGCCCTAAGTTCAAACCCCAGTCCCGCTGAAAAGAAAAGAAAAAAAAAAAAAAAAAGGACTCACCTTACCAGCTACACTAGCTGTATAAACAACATCTTATGATGCTATAAGAATACACAGTTTTGGAAGAAAATAGGACAAATTCATGAACCAGAATAGATAGATGATTGGTATGATTATTTAGATCAAAATAAAAATCAGGAATATGTGTTGTTGGAACAAATGGACAAATCACTTGGTAGAAAACTTAGTTTAGAGCTTTACCTTATAATAGGCCAAGATAAACTCCAGAGTGAAACCAAAGAGAAAAAATTGAAAATCAAAACACAGAAGCAGAATTTTAAAAAATGGTATTTTAATTCAAGGATGAGTAACTCAGAATTTCTAAACCCAGCAAGAAAATAAGTAAATATAAAAACAAAGAATCAACCTATATGAATATATATATACATATATATATATAAACTTCTATATCAACCTGTTATATAAAGCTCAGTAAGAAAAACTCATGCTCTTGTTGATAAATTGCATATTTCAAGACAACTCAAAAAATAATATGTATATTAATCTCAGCAATATTGAACAATGTAAATTAACGTAATTGCATTTCTTATCTCAAAAAATGCCAAATCGAATTTCTTATACCAAGACTAATCTGTATGGTAAGATTATCGGTTCTGTGCATTTCTATTTGAAGAATCTCTTTTAAAAAAGCATTGGATAAATAGTACAACTAGAGAGAAGTAAATCAGATATTATAAAATCAGTTTTGTTATGTTTTATGTATTTATTTTGGTATATTTCATGTAAACTATTTAATCCAGTCTTCTTTTTTTAATGTGTGTTTACATTCATAGTTCCCTGAGTTTAGAGTCTTGTCTTACTTTTCTTAATTTTTCCTTTGGATTCCAGAACCATATTGATGTGAGTAGCACATAAAGGAGATGCTCTGTTTTTGTTCCAAAATCCCGTATCTGTTACTCTAGCCAAAGTAATTTATTTTAAAGGAAGTTGCTCAGGGTGCTTTACCTTCTGTAGTGAGTTTTACCTTCATGAAGTTGAGTTGTTTTCATGGAGTTGTTTGTGACTTTATGGAAAAGTAACGTATAAATTGTACCAACTTTATTTTCTGTGTTTAGATATATCCTTCGGAGTTTGGAAAGGAGAGGATGAAGGAAGAACAAGTTCAAGGACCAGTAGAGTTATTAAGTATTCCTGAAGATGCCCCTGAAAAGGACTGGTATTGAGTCACAATAGAACATAAAACTAAACCTCATAAATTTATGTCACTAATTCAGAATTCTGCTTATCTTAATAGGGCTAAAGTTTACACTAATGCCATTTATGGACAAACAGGTTACAAAACAGTATATCAGAGTGGCACACTATTCCTACAGTTCTGTATATATTTATATATTGAAAATAATTACTGTGTTTTTGTAAAACATTTTATGATTAAACTAATTTAGGGTTCTCTCACCCTTGTTGCTCTGAATTAGTTTTGATTTTCTTCCTCACTTGAGGATTAAATTTTAAAAATGAAGGAATAACGAGGTTCTTTTAACATCATAGTGCAGAACAGAAAAAAATTTAAGAAAGCTTTTAAGCCACTAGGTGGAGCTATCTGTACATGTAATAAAAATTATGATTAACTAGATTGATTGGAAGAGAGACAGATGAAGAAGATCTTCAAAGTATTTATGGTACCTAAGTGAAGTTAAAGTTACAACTATATTTAGATTTAAGGACAAATGAATCTGGAGCAAACATTTTGTATGGTTGAGAATTTCTTTGTAATTAGAAATAATTGCAACTTGGGGATGTGGCTCAGTGGTAGAGTACTTGCCTTCCATGCACAAGGCCCTGGGTTTAATCCCCAGCACTACAAAAAAAAAGAAAGAAAGAAAGAATTGGTTCTAATGATACTTTATAAATGTTTTCATTTTTTGTGATTTTTTTTTTTTGGCAGTACTGGGGGTTTGAACTCAGGGCCTTAGACTTGCCAGGCAGATGCTCTACCAGTTGAGCCACACCTCCAGCTTGACATATCTATAATACAGTGTTCTGGTCCAGTGGTTTTACTTGAGACTGCTGTGTGTGGTAGAAAAAGAAGCAAAAATAAATAAATAAAACAACTATTCTAAGAAATAAGATCATAGATAAGTATATGTAATTCTCTCACTTTCCTTTTCTAGATACTTAATTCTAGTCCAAATACCAAAATCTGAACCTTGAGAGAATAATAAATTGACCTTATTTAAGTATTTAATGTTCATAAAGGCTAAGTCATGAGGAAAAGAGTGAAGGCTAGCTTGTAGTATATTTATTTATTTATTTACTTATTTATGCCACGCTGGGAATTGAATCTAGGTTAACTTTATAAAGGGAAATATATTTCCCTGTTTCTGTACAAGTGAGTTTAATGAGATTTTCTCCCCTCAGGACCTCTAGAGAAAAGTTGAGAGATTATCAGTTCAAACGACTGAAGTACTATTACGCAGTAGTAGACTGTGATTCTCCTGAAACAGCAAGTAAAATTTATGAAGATTGTGATGGCCTGGAATTCGAAAGTAGTTGTTCTTTCATAGATCTAAGGTAATCCTATGTGTGTGTTACCAAAGTATTACATGATTATAAGAAATAAAATACTTGAACTGGTAGTGGTCTCTATTGTTTTATAGTCTAAAATAATTATTTGCTTTTGGATGATCTATCATATGGAATAACATTCCTAAGAAGGAGACTGAAGAAGAACATGCTAAAGTATTATGTATGAATCATGAATCATTACCATGTTTATGGTAACATTTCAAAAATGTTGGCTGTGTTTTTAAAGATGATGTGTTATATGCAATGATATTTCTTTGAAACTCTTTTAGAACTAGGACCCAGGTGAGATAACTTGAAAAAAGACATTGAGGTAGGGGCAGTGGACTTAGCTAATAGACTAAGTAGCTTTAGATCTGTGCTCTCCAATACTGTAGCCACTAGTCACATCTGATTATTGTAATTTGTTTAACTAAAATTTGAAATTCTGTTGCTCATTCCAGTAGAAACATTTCAAGTACTTAATGGTCAAATTTTGGCCAGATCAGATACAGACTATTTCCATCATCATAGAAAGTTCTATTGGACAGCACTGTTATAAATGCTGCTTTGTTAATGAATGTTGTTGCTGTCATTGTCTTCAGACTTGGGGATTATTTTTATGTGCTCAGGATTCACTGACCCAAAGCTGAAAAACCTTAGATGGTTATGAATTTCGATTCTACGAAAATAGGAACTGAACTACTGTACCATTTTATGATAAGCCTAGTCCTTTTGAACACAGTAAACCATTTTACTGTGACATATTGAATAGAAACCACTTCTTTGTATTCAGATTCGTTAGAGATTTTGTTCTCAAAATGAAATATTTCATAGAAAAATGCATCATTTCACAGTCATTTTGGTTTGTCACACTTCACAGATATTCAAACTGGTAGAAAAATATAAAAAATTGAATTTATAATTTGAGGTAAGATTTTATAAGCATGCTTAAGTATACAATGAGAACTGCATGATCTCTTCAGACAAGCTATTTCCTTCTCTTCTGTTAACAATTTCAGTAGGAGGTTCTTGTTTTGAATGTTCAAATAGTAGTTACCAAGTATTTGCTAATGTGTTTTATCCCTTTGTGTTTCATAAATTCATGCTGACTTGTTTACAGGATCATTTTATTTCATTTCCTTTTGGAGACATTTCCATGTAGTGTTAAAGCAAGCTCTTTGGTACCTATAAAATAAGGTTAACGGCCATAGGAACAAACATTACCTCCCTTTTTTTTTCTCATATGTAACATCAGAAAAAAGAATTGAATTTTCTACTGCCATTCATTTATCTGTGGAAACATTTTTTTCATCTACCCCGAAATATATATAAAAGAAAGCATTTTAAAATGTTGATTCGAGGTTCTTTTCTATTAAGTCTGTGCAAAAGTATACCTAGAGAAGTGTATTATGTAAACTTATCCATTTATACCAAAACATGGACTGGAGATGTGCCTCAAGCAGTAGAATGCCTGCTTTGCTGTCACAAAGCTCTGAGTTTAAATACCAAAACATAATTTTTTATAAAATAATACAGTATTTGCCTTTAATGCGTATGTGTGTGTATAAACAATCTACTATGTAAATTATATATAAACCTAAGTATAATAACCATAGATTTTTTTTTCCATTCCCTAGCTCAGTGGGCTAAAACTTGTTAGTCACTGTGGCTGATTTACGCTTAAAAACTAGTTGTTTGTGAAATGAAATTGTTGGTAATATTGTTAAGATTTTTGGTCTTAGAATGGCTCAAGTGGTAGAACACCTAGCTGGCAAATGGTTGGCCCTGGGTTTAAACCTGCCAAAAAAAAAAAGTTTGTTTTTGGTCTTGAGTCAAGACCCGCATGTGTATGATACTTTGAGTTCAGAGCACTTACCATTATTAATTCTGTTTGCTCTTCAGAATATCATTAAGCAAGCCAGTGAGTAGGCTGTGAGGAGACTAGATCTTTTTGAAAAACGATGGATCCACACGTTCTTGTATTTGACTTGTATTAACTGGCTGCTAATTCAGTGTTTCTGTCTATACAGTGTCCTCTCAGATTTAAGAATTTCACATTTGTAGTTTATGAATTTCAGAAATTTTGTGCGAAGATTATTTCTAACATTGTTTGCTTCTTCTACATGTGTGCTCTGTAGAAACTTGTGTATGGTATGTACGTATAAACCACAACTAATTAGTAATGAATCTAAACTCTGGTTGTTTATCATTGCAGCATATGTTCAAATAAATTTACTTTTTCTTTGTCTCTTAGGTTTATACCAGATGATATTACTTTTGATGATGAGCCCAAGGATGTAGCCTCAGAAGTGGATTTAACAGCATATAAACCAAAATATTTCACATCTGCTGCGATGGGAACATCAACGGTATTTAACTTTTAAAAATGTGTAGCTGGGCTCTATTGCTTTAAGAAGTATCTTGTGCATTATTTACAACATCTTTAGATATGGAAGTTACTCAAAATTTTAATACACAAGTACAACTAGAAATGAAACAAGTATATGTGCATTATTTACTGCATCTGTTTGAACCTATTTTCAAATTCTTGTTATGCTTTTAAGCCTGAATTAATTACCTGATAATGTTTCTTTCTTTTTTTTTTTTCTTTTATTTTTTCCACACTCTTATTCAACTAGATTCCTTGGGGATGGGGATGTAGCTCAGTGGTAGAGCACTTGCCCATGTGTGAGACTCTAGGTGTAATCCCCAGCACCAGCATCCCCTTCCTCAACAACTAGATTCTTTAATAGATAGTATAGCAGTTGTTAATAGCCTAGGGACCAAGGAGAAGGAAGTAACAGATTACTTCAAATGATAGTTAAGCCAAAGTAGTGAGAATTTCAAATAAGAGCACATTTTTCTGGTTTCCTTTACCTTTCCTTTATGACAAATGACTGCTATTTTGAGACGGGACCAGTGGCAGACAAAGATAGTATATTTGCCACCTGCTGTGCTGTGGTGGGTACTATGTGGCAGTGATTCATTACTGAGCATAATAAACCCTACTATTATGCAGTAATTCACATAAAATGTGAGGTTGTATTGTTTTGAATACTAAATACTGACCATAGCCAGCTTGTCCAGCCAGCCAGTCTGAATGAGTCCTGGCTGTATTATCATCATCTGTTCTACTTCCAGCAACAGTATTATGATTATCAGATTAGTCTTAATTACCAGGATAAGGATAATTCTGAATCCTATGACTGGCTGGAAATTCTAAGTGTTAATGATTTTATGGATCCTTTGGTTAATTGGTGCCTATTTTGTTGTCCTATCTGGGGAAGTTAGCCTGAGGAAAGGACTTGGGACCCATCCTGTGGTAAATATAAAACCTTTAGCAGAACCCTGTGTATGAATAGGTGCTGATATAGAGGACAGGAGCCTGCCAGTCATGTTATACATAATTTGCCTATCATAGGTGTTTACTATACTTCTAACCAATATCTTATCAATGTCTCAGTCATTTTTGGAAAACTGACCCCACTGAGACTGTGTTGCTTTACCAACAGATTTTATATAGTTTGTGGCTCTCGCCTCATATTAGAACTCCAGATGAAAACATGTTTTCACTGATTGGTAATAGTGTTAACTTTTTTACCAGTGCATTTTTCTTATTTTTTTTTATCACAATCCACGCTCATTATTACTTCCAGTAATGGAGTATCCTGCATGTAGCAGAGAATTAGGAGAAGAAAGGTACAAGTGTATTCCTTTCCACAACTAGGAAACTGTTTATTAATCATATAATATCATTCATGTATTTATTTTGGTATGTCTTAACTTTTTCAGCTTACTGTTAAGCATCCAAGTTATCAGTATATATTCTTTAATAGATATGAGTTGTTGACATTTCTGTGTGTGTCTGTGTTTCCCATTCATTGGTGAAAGGTGGAGATCACTTGGGATGAAACTGATCATGAAAGAATCACAACACTCAACAGAAAGTTTAAAAAGGAAGAGCTTTTGGACATGGATTTTCAAGCCTACTTAGCTTCCTCTAGTGACGATGAAGAGGAAATAGAAGAGGAGCTACAAGGTACTTATTAATCTTTTAGTGACTTGTTAATAGGAATATGTCTTTGGCAGTAATTTAAAGGGAAGACCCAAACGTAATTCTTCAGCTGTGTACAAGGCATATTCATATGCATAGTATTATACACATCTGTAGATAGTGCTTGAAAATTTTTTTAAGTATCTTCTTAGTCTAAATTTTTTTAAGCATAAAGTTTAAAACCCTGACATAACAGAAAGCTTGTCCTTTTAAACTTGTCCCAACCAATATATTTTCAGTCTTTAGTGAACTTTATAAAATGCTCTATTATGCTCCTTTTTAAATAAATAGCATCTTGTAGATTGATTTGTTTTGTTTTGTTTTGTTTACCATTCCATTGTAAACTAGTTTGGAAAGTAGAGCTTCTGTTGCTGAAATTGTAGAAATTATAACTTGCATCTTTAACATAGTCTAAAGACAGTAATTTTTTACCCTCCCAGATAATGTAGAAATCCTTAAATAATTTTCATGCATGCTATTTTTGTGTGTTATACTTCTATTTTTAAGTCCTTACAGGATGTGATATTGCTTTCTTATACTGCTTTTGTTTATATTCCCCCTCATTCTCTGCCCCCTTCCTTGGCTGTTTCTTTCTTTCTAAATTTCGTACCTGTCTGTGATCATTTTCCTTCTGCCTTAAGTATATCCTTGAGAATTTCCTATAGTAAGTGTTTTCAGGTGTCAAATTCTTTTGAGGTTTTGTTTCTCTTAAAATTTCCTTACTTTGCTTTCATTTGAAAAGCATTCCAAGTTGGCATTCCTCCCCACTCCCCACACTGAAAATAATACTCCATCAGCTTCTAACTCCATTGGTATTTTTGAGAAGTCAGCTGTTTAACATTTTTAAATGTTTTGAAGGTTGTCTGGAGCTTTTTTGTTTTAAAGCTTCTATCATTCTGTAATTTTACTGTGATGTTTCTAAGAGTAATTTTCTTTTTATTATTGAGCTTGGGGGTTTACTGAATTTGCAGAGTAGTATCTATTAGTATTGTAATATTGTCATTCTCAGCCATTATGTTTTGATAGTTTCTCTCCTATCATTCTGGGACTCCAGTTAAATATGCTAGATCTTTTCACTGTATCTTCTCTATTTCTGTTCTACATTTTTATTTATTTTCTCTATGTACTGTGGTCTAGATATTTTCTTCTGACCTATCTTCTAGTTACTAATTGCCTTTTCAGCAATATCAAATCTGCTAATAGACCTACCCATTGGATTCTTAATCTTGGTTGTTATATATTTCACTTATAGAAGTCATATTTGGCTGTTTTTCAAGTCAGCAGTATTTTTTTTAATAGTTTCATATTTGGTACAATTTTAAAACATCTTTTATTTCTGTAAACTGTAAGTGTGTTTTTATAGTCTGTCAATTTCAGTACTTCATATATCTTCAGATCAGTTTCTATTATTTTGCAAGATGTTTCTCTTCTTTTCCACTGTGCCTAGTTAACTTTGTCTGCTGGTTTAATGTTTGAAAAGAGGGTAACTTTCGTAAGAAAGTCTCAGTCTAGACCCACGTGACTTCGGGTTTCAGGTGAGGAAAGTCTGCTTGGGGGCTGGTTTGCTTCGAGTTGATGGTTTTTCTGAGAGTGTCTTTCTTTACATCATTGCTTAATATGGGGGATGCCATTTAAAATTGCCTCCTTTTGTGGGCCTTTAAACTTTTGTCCTTTTGGCCCTTGAAATTCTGCCAACGCTACAATTGAGTTCATAGCTGGATAAAGAAATAAGAAATGCTCCCAGGGTAAAATAGGTCTTAAACACTGGAGTCATCCCTGTGGTATTCTGTTCTTGATTTTGACATGGTTATTCTTCACTAACTTGTCAGTTCTTTGAAACTTTCTTTTTTTAATCTCTTTGAAGCTTTTGAAAAGATTTTGAAATATCTCATCCAACTTGACATTAGTGAAGAGTTGGTCTGAAGTACCTGGCAGAAGTAAATTTTTTTTTTATTTATAACTGAACACTTTTCATGGGTTTTTTGTTGTTGTTTTTCCTTTTGCATAATGTATTATTTTTATAGCCTAGTGGAAAATTAAATAAATCCCAGAAATACTTCTTTCATATTACTATAGGCTTAGATCCTATAATTAGTTTATCACTGTGGGTTTTTTTTTCTTTCTTTTATTTTATCATTTTTATATTTACTTACATGTGTATACATTGTTTGGGCCACCTTCCCCCTACCCCACTACTCCTTCCAGGCAGAACCTGTTCACCCTCTTCTCTGATTTTGTTGAAAATAAAACATAGGAGATAATAAGAAAGATGAAGCATTTTTGCTAGTTTGAGATAAAGATAGCTATACAGAGAGATTCCTAGCGATGCTTCCATGCAACCCACATTGGTTCATCTCTACCAGTCCTGTTTGCTATTTTCTGGTCCCCTTCCCATAGTGGGAAGTGCCAGTTTAAGATTACTTTATTTGCTCCTCTTCAGTGAGCATATCAACCACTTTCAAGTTACAGGTTTCCTTCCCTTTCCCTGTTCCTCCCATGTGCATTCTCCCCTTAGTGTGTGACCCATGTCCAATAATAGTACTGCATTTGTTTTAAGTCTGTATTCCACATTTGAGGGAGAACATGCAATTTTTGGCCTTCTGAACCTGGCTAACTTCACTTGAGATGATGTTTTCCATTTCCATCCATTTACATGCAAATGACAAAACTTCATTCTTCTTTGTAGCTGAATAAAATTCCACTGTATATAAATACCATGTTTTCTTAATCCATTCGTCAGTAGTGGGGCATCTTGGCTGTTTCCATAGCTTAGCTATTGCGAATAGTGCTGCAGTGAACATGGATGTGCAGGTGCCTTTGTAATAATTTGAGTTGCATTCCTTCAGGCATATTCCTAGCAGTCGTATTGCTGGATCATATGGCAGATCTGTGTTTAGTTTTATAAGAAGCCTCCATATTGTTTTCCAAAGTGGTTGTACTACCTTAGATTCCCACCAGCAGTATATGAGGGTACCTGCCCCTTCTTGTACCCCCCCTCCCCCCGCCACGCGCGCATCCTCACCAACATTTGGTAGTGGTGGTGGTCTTGATGCTACCTATTCTAACAGGAGTGAGTCGGAATCTTAGTGTGATTTTAATTTGCATTTCCTTTATGACCAGTGATGGTGAACATTTTTTCATGTGTTTTTTGACTGTTTGCACTTCTTCCTTTGAGAAAGTTCTGTTTAGTTCAGTTGCCCACTTCTTTATTGGTTCATTAATTTGGGGGAGTGTAGTTTTTTGAACTCCCTTTATATTCTGGTTATCAGTCCTTTGTCTGATGCATAGCTAGCAAATATTTTCTACCCCTCTGTGGGTATTCTCTTCAGTTTAGAGACCATTTCTTTTGTTGTGCAAAAGCTTTTTAATTTCATGTACTCCCATTTGTCCATCCTTTCTCTTAGTTGCTGGGCTTCTGGAGTTCTACTGAGGGAAGTCCTTTACCGATACCTATTGTTTATAGACCAGGGTATTCCCTGCCCTTTCGTGTACTAACTGCAAGGTCTGATATTAAGGTCCTTAATCCACCTTGAGTTGATACTGGTACAGAGTGACAGGCATGGATCTAGTTTCTAGAAAAGTGGCAGATAACCACTTTTCTCAGCAAAATTTGTCAAAGAATCTGTCTTTTCTATATTGTATGTTTTTGGCGCCTTTGTCAAAAATAAGGTGGGAGTAGCTATGTGGATTCATATCTGGGTTCTCTATTCTGTTCCACTGGTCTTCATATCTGTTTTTGTGCCAGTACCATGCTGTTTTTATTGCTATGGCTCTGTAGCATTGTTTGAAGTCAGGTATTGTGATACCTCCAGCATTGCCCCTTTTGCTCAGTATTGCCTTGGCTATTCGCAGTCTCTTGTGTTTCCAAATGAACGTTAGGATAGATTTTTTCAATATCTGTGATGATTGCCATTAGGATTTTGATGGGGATTGCATTGAACATGTAGATTGCTTTTGATAGTAGTAGCCATTTTTACTTTGTTGATTCTGCCAATCCATGAGCATGAGAGATCTTTCCATCTTCTGTAGTCTTCTTTGACCTCTTTCTTCAGTTGTTTGTAGCTCTCCTTGTAGAGGTCATTCATATCCTTTAAGTTTATTCCTAGGTATTTGATTTTTGAGGTTATTGTAAATGGAATTGTTTTCCATATTCTTTCTCAATTTGTTCATTGTTGGTGTATAGAAAGGCTACTGATTTTTGTAAGTTGATTTTGTATCCTGCTACATCTCTGAAGCTGTTTATGGGGTCTAGGAGTTTTTTGGGTCTTAAGTATAGGATCATGTCGTCTGCAAATAGGGATACTTTGACTATTTTAGACTGCTAAAGACAGTGCTTCTTTTTTTTTAGGTTTTTTTTTTTTTCATAAACTACTACTTTTGAACAGTTTTCCATACATGGAATGGAAAAGTCATGTTTAATCATTCCAGTTTATTTGTTCAGGCTTCATATATTAATAAAACCGCATAATTGCTTAACTATTTAATAGTCTTAATTCTCAGTGGTAGTTATGTTGGGTACAAAAGACTTCACCATTTTTTTAAGGGCTCAGTAACTGTTGCTTGTTAGTATTTTTGGCATTGAAGAATTGAGTGAACATTTTATTTCTTAGTGTACATGGAACATCTGAGTCTTTCTCAAATAGCTTTTGTGGTCCTTGTCCCTGTAGATATGGAAAAAGATAAATTTATATACCTGTACAGACATTTACCACTTTTCTAAAAAAAATCTAGATAGTATTCCTTCACTCTCAACTCTAAAATAAAGGGAAAAAGATAATGTTCTATGTGTACTTGTGAAAACTGGTTCTAAGTTATTCAAATAGATATTCCTTGATTTGGGAAAAATGAACTAAATTTTAAGATAATACTGTTGACATTATGATACCTAGTATTATGAATAAATCACCATTGTGAATAAATTAGCATTATTTTGTCAATGCATTCCTTTTAAAATTTTGGACTAATGTCTTAAAATCCTAACTTTGTCACATAGTGAAATAACACAAGCCAAGTTTTCTAAGCACTCTGTTCTTTTCTTTCTGTAGCTGCAAAATGAGGATCATAATAGTGCCTGATGTATGGCTGGAAAGATTGAAATGATGTTCATAAAGCATTTAGCATACTACCTGTGCCATCTTTTAAAAGATTAATGCCTTTTTATTTGAATTGTACTACTTACTAGGTTTTTTTAAAGAATGCCCTTTTTTTCAGTATTTTAATTGATTGCAAACTTACTTTCATCTGAAATATAGTACCTCTGATAATTAGTATATTCGAATTCTTTAGAGTCACTGGATGTCCTGATTATTGTTTATAAGAGTTGCTTACTATTTGAATTTTTTTAACTTCTTATACAGTTTTTAGGCTTTCACAAAATATTGTCCTTGAATTGGGGGAAAAACAGACCTACAAGCACATTTTAGAACTTCAGAAAGTAAAATTTTAGTACTGGAAAAAAATCAATTGAAAGTAAGCCATCAGAGACTTACCACTAAAATTTCAACCTGGAAAGAGCTTGCTTCTAATTATGTTTTCAGAAGTAAGCTTTTAATAGAAAGAAATACATTGCCATTTGTTAATATGTTCCTGATGTTTTATCCATTGAATTACGGGATTCATGACAGAATTCCATCCAACACTATTATTGTGGCACAATACACAAAGCACAAACAGCAAAAAAAAAAAAAAATGAACTTCAGCTGCTTGAGTGAAAAATATTTCAGTGTGATAGGATGGAAAGAATGTCCTCAACCATTTTTTATTCATTTAGACAAAAAATATATTAACCTGTTTTTTTCCCCGTATCACCTCTTTTAAGAATAAAGACAGTGTAAAACTGACATTTCACAGCTATATGCTTAGTAATGTCAGATACTTTGGTGACAGTTAGTCATTGGTTCTAAAAGAGATAGACTTCATGATGTTACTTTTGAACTGGGGACATTTAGTCAGTTCAGCAAGTCTATGTTTTACATTATAATCCAGGATTCTAGTTCATGTTTTCGACTGGGAGAATTGTAATGAAAATGTAAAGCAAACAAACTTCATGTATTCATTTTCTCTGATATTGTCCATGAATTTTACACTGTTCCTTTGTATCCTAGCTTTCTTTTATAAAACTAGAAAATAGAAATCTGAATATTTTTCCACACAGTGAAATTAATTGAATTAACTTCTAATTTATTTTTATCATTAAAGTATGAACAAGGTCCTTAAAGTATGCTTCTTCACAATGAGATGGAAAGAGTTTAGTATTTTTTAGGTCTGAGTTATAAACAACTTCCTTTATTTCTTTTCTTCAGCCTGAATAGCTAAATCTGTGTGTCATATTCACTCCAAAAATATTCAGCCTCCCTTTAACAGAATTTTGTTGTTGTTGTTGTTTTTAGAGGGTGATACTAGACTTTGAACTCAGGGCCTTGCACATGCTGGCAGGTGCTCTACCACTTGAACCATACTCCCAAATCCTTTTTACCTTACTTACTTTTTGATTAGGGTCTTGAGTTTATGCCAGGTCAGCCTGGACTGAGATCTTCCTATTTACACTTTCCCCATAGCTGCGAAGATGGGCACACCACCACACCCAATTTTTATTGGTTGAGGTGGGATCTAACTTTTTACCTCTGCTGGCCTCAAACTGCAGTCTTCCCAATCTTTACCTCCTGTGTAGCTAGGATTGCAGGTATGAGTTTCCATGTCCAACTGGACAAAACTTTTAAAGCCACTCTACTCTGCCTGCCTAGCAAGCACAAGGCCCTGAGTTCAAACCCCAGTTCCACCACACACACACAAAAGAAAAGCCACTGTGCTAGATGGCAAAGAATGAAAAATACCATCCTTACTGTCTTGTACCTTGGAGAGGAGAAAAGTCCAAAGATCTTTTGTAATTGGAAAATTATTTTTAAATAATTCCCAAATATACAGCTATGACAGTGCTAACTTACATTGCAACTGATTTTTATTGTATACTAGACCTAACTCTTTCATTCAGTTTTGATATTGCATGATTGCAGTATGTCTGTGACAACATGTTTTAGAAAGGTATTGAAATAGACTGTGAGCACTGTACACTGGAGTTAGAAATGAATTGTTCCTGCATATTAAATTTATGTGATTTTTGTGTGTGTGTGTGAGGTGATGATGGAGTCAATATAGAAGAAGATGGGAAAAAGAAAATTCAGAAGGACGATGAAGAACAAATTGCTAAATATAGACAGCTCTTGCAAGTTATTCAAGAAAAAGAAAAGAAAGGCAAAGAAAATGATATGGAAATGGAAATTAAGTGGGTTCCAGGTAAGATGTTTCCTTGTTTTTTTTTTCTCTTGGCAGTGTTGAGTGCGTTTTAGATATAAAGATAAAGAAGCTAACCCTTCTTTGGAGACATAAATTTTTTAAAATCTTTTTGTCCAGAAGTATTTTAGTGAGGAGTTAAACTCTTCATTTGAGACTCATCAGCTCACTCTTGATTAACTAACTACAGATTATTTCTGTTCACTTACAAAAGTAGACCTTTTTTTGGTTTGATTCCTAAATTCAGAATACATAACATTGAATCCAGACACTAAATGTTCTAAAATTATTACTTTTTTTTTTTTTTCAAAACATGTAATACACAAGTGGTCTTTTCTCCCATACCCCTGGTAGTCCTTAATTGATGAGATTTCGTTAAGACAAAATATGCATTACACAGTCTTTCATCTCAATTTTTCTATAACTAGTCAAAGAAATATAACATAGTAGAGTAGTACAATGCTAATTAAAATTGTATCAAAGCTAAACAAAGATAAAGATAGGATTATTTTTAACATGGATTGTTTGGTGTGCACATTTCTTTTTCAACCATTCTAGGCAAATCATAAACCTTTGCAACCAGTACTCTTTTTTTTTTTTTTTTTTGCAGATTACAGCTGTTTATCTACAGTAGCTGCTCAGTATCCTTGGGAAATTGCTTCCCCCTCCCCCACACACAGACACCAGAACAGATGCTCTAGTCCTTTATATAAAATGGCCTACTTGCATATAATTTACATGCATTTTCTTACATACTTTAAGTCATCTCTAGATTACACATAATATCCAATACCATGTAAAGGCTATGTAAATAGTTGTCACACTGTGTTCTTTAAGGAATGACAAAGTTTTGGGTTTTTTGTTTTGTTTTTGAACTACTGGGGTTTGAACTCAGGGCTTCATGCTTGCTCAGCAGGTGCTGTATCACTTAGCCATACCCCACAGCGTGTTTTGCTTTAGTTATTTTTCAGGTAGAGTCTCAAGGTTTTGCCCATCCCTACAACCAGGAATGACAGGTGTACACTTCCACATCCTGCTTATTGAGATGGGGGCTTGCTAACTTTTTGCCCAGCCTGACCTCTAAGCTGGATTCTCCTGATCCTGTACTCCTGAGTCACAGGGATTATAGACATGAACCACTGCATGCAGCTTCTTTTCCTGACTATTTTAATTTGTATGTAATGTTAATATATAAAATAGTTTTAAAATGTGAAAGGAAAAATTATCACAATTTCCACCATCGGTATTCTGTCACCTAGGTAGATTATAGTTTCACTTGCCATTTCTCTGTTGTTGAATGTTTAACCATATTTCTAACCTTTTACTACAGTAAACCTAAGTAGGGCACCGAAAAGAAATATGAGCTTCCAAACCCACAAACATTAGTCCTTTCTTAGATCTCTTCACTTTCATCACCAGCCAAGTAATTAGCTTGCTTTTTCAGAGCCTTTCAATTTAAAAAACTTTCTTTAACAGAGATGTTTTTCCTTTTTTCCTCACTTAGAAATACTTTTATGCATTTGAGTACTAGTAGAGAGCAACCAAGCCACAGTGAGAAGCAGATGCTGGTAGTCAAGCCTGCTACTAGTTACGTGACTCCCTCACTCACATAACAGCTTTACATATGCTGTGGATCAACCTGTGGTTCTCTCATGAGCTGTTAAAACTACCAGTGTCAAAACCTCAAATGTTAAATCTCATATGCCAAGTGTCTCGGATGTTATAAATAATCTATAGCTTTTTCCATATCTTCAGTTATTTTCATAGGATATCTTCCCAGAAATAGAAATACTAGAGAAGGCCACAAATACTTTTTGTGTCTTGAAGTTATTACCAAATTTCTTTCCAAAAATGTTTTATCAGTTTATAATCCCTTCCGTAGTCATACAAGTGCCAGTTTCATGGAATTATCATTACTATTGCATACACAGTTTTTACTTTATATTAAATGCATGAAAATAGGTTTTCTGAAATAAAGAATTGAATACCTCAGTTTAAAATAATGTTTTAAAAAGTCCTAAACTATGGTATTTTTTTAATGCCCCTGAGGAGGTAGGGGTGTTAAAAAAAAAAAAAGTGTTATCACCTGTGAACTCTTGTTGTTCTGTACATGCACATGTGTACATGTGAGTTCCACATGTTATATGAGATAATTGAGCTAATCTGTCTGAATATTTGTTTAGTCATTTGGAAAGTGAGATTAATAATAACCTGTCTTGCTTAATTTGAGATTAAAGTATTTTATAAGTCACAAAATATACTTGTTATGTATTTTGGTAGATTTATTTCTTTAAAACGTGTGTTTTCAGTAACAGTTATCTTGAACCACTGGACTTTTGTGATGTTATACTTCAGTATGAATTTATATTACATCAGTCACTGGTTCTTCTGTGTCTTATTAAGCTCTTTGAAAAATTCACCCCCTTAATCACTAACACTTGATGGAATATGGTTTGATTTCTTTTTAAAGGAATCTTAGTTTATGCTATTTAAACTTCCTTTTTACATTGGGTTTTACATACAATAGCATGTGGAGTTTAATCCCTTAAGTACTAAGGGAGATAGATAACAGGTTCATGTGAAATAACTCATTGTTTATAGGTATAACAACTGAAGTAAACTACTTTTTTTTGGTGGTAGAAGAGTATGGATTTCTGTGAGTGAGAAAAGCCATTGCAGGGTTTGGAATGGAGGATCAATAAAATCGGACTTTTATTCAGATCACTCTGATTAATAGATTAAAGTGAGAGACGAGGACAAAATTGGAGAGATAATCAAGAGGCAGTTGCAGTAATCCTTAAATAATAAAGATGGCAGGTTTGCAAGAGACTATCTCTTCTCTTTCACATGTTAAGTTTAAGATACCTATTAGATACCAAGGAATTAGTCATATAATAAGGAGTTTGGAGAAGTTTAAGATATTTTCTAAATACTTTTTTAAGTGTCACAATATACCCTCAGTACAACAATAATATAATTTTAAAAAATAAAAAAGTTCAGGGAAGGAATTTGGGAATCTTCATTGTATAGACATCTGAAAGTAAGTAAGAGCAAGGTAGTAAACAGGTAGAAAAATTCCCTTAGGGCCCTTCAGCATTTAGAGGTAGAGGAAGTAAGGAAAAACATCTAAAGCAGCTGAGAGGAAGCTATCAAAGAAACAGGTAATTTAGGATTGTGGGATATCCAGTGAAGAAAGCATTTCAAGGAGAATATGGCTCAATAAAATACAGATTAAAAATGACTGGGATTTAGCAATGTGGAGATCATTGGTGATATTCAATAGTTTTGATGGCATGGTGAGAGATGAAAGTGACTGGTTCAGGAGAGAATGGGAGGAGAGGAAGTAGAGACAGGGAGTACAGACAATTACTTATTCCACAATATTTAATTATTAGAAAGGTACAGGCATCATGATACTCCATCCCTAAAAAACACTTCATAGGGCAGCTTCCAAAAACAAAGACATTCTCTAAAATAAGCACGATGTCATCATGACACTAAAGGAATTTACTATTAATACAGTAATAGTCAAATATCTTACTTATTTCAGTCATCTTTGTAGTTCTTTACTACTAGCTGGATCCAGTAGTTTTTGAAGTGTCCCCAGTAGTTGGATAATAGAATCCCATAGTCTGGTTTTGTTTCCTTATAATTCATGTAAAGGTTTTTGACATGACTTCTCCATAAATGAGATTATATATACCCTCTTGCCCCATATCAATAGATATGTTAATATCAGTTTTTCCTATTATTTGTGTTGTTTACTCAGTTAAAGTGATGTATGACTGATTTCTCCATTGTAAAGCCACCTTTTCTCCTTTTTAACAGTTAAGTATTTTGTGGGGTAATACTAGGTAAATCCTGTTCTGCAGCATTTTACCTTGTGGCTTTAGCATTCATTGGTGATCCTTGCTTGAGTATATTGCTGGTTGAAGAATGCTAATTTTCAATTTCTTTCATTTCTTCTACATTCTTAGTGTTCTAGGTAGTAGAGCTCTTTCTCCACCCCTTTTTTAAGTTACTGGAGAGTTAGGTAGTGAATAAAAACAGAAAATGGATCACACAAAAATGGGGAAGATGAAAACAGCATTTTTATTTAAGATGGGGAAAATAACATGCCATGAACTTCTGTAAATAATCTACTAGAAACGGGAAAAAATGATAAAAGCAGAGAACTATTGTCTGAAGTAGATAAAAGAAGTTGGATATTCTTATACAAGTGGAAGAAATGAACTTAGATGTGCGTAGAGCTCATCCATTGTAATTGGAGAGAAAACAGCAAGGACTACAATCACAGAAAGGATAATAGGTAGTTTTGTGTTTTTTTAGTGAAATAGAAGGTAACATCATCAGTTAGGACATGATCTAATTAAGAGTGGGAAAAAGGGGGTAGGCTTGAAAAAAAAGATATGAAATAGTTGTTAAAGAAGATAAGAGTGGGAAATGTGATAGAATTACTGCGCAGTAATAAGAATGTACTTGAAATTCCTGGATTATAAAGAAAGATGAGTTGGCACAATTACATGTTTTTCTTTAGCCATGTTTAATTATGTGCTTCAAACATGAACTAAGGAGAGTATTAAACTAGACTAGATTTGACAACCAAGCAAGAGAGGGGGAGAGGGGATGATGGACCCTGGTGTCTGCGTTGGTTTAGAAGGAAATGAGGATATATAGAGGGTGGAGGATACCAAAAAGGTGAGAGAATTGATAGATTTTAGGTCCCTGTAAGATGGTTGAAGAGTAGGATGCTTCAAATTAAGGTTATGGTGAGATTTTAATTTTTGATAATGACATGATCTGTTTATGATCCTACAAGTGAGGTTCTTAGGTAGGGTGAAGTATAGAACCATAATAGGAGAAGAAATCAATGAACTGTGAGGCCTGGGGTGCTGGAATAGAAATCACCAAGGATAATGACAGGAATTTAGGAGAGAGTGGTCATGAGCTAGGAACTAAAATCAAGAAATGAGAGTAGTGGCTACAGTCCTTAGATACCTACA